AGGCTGCTCCATAGCTGCTGCTCGTGTGCCTCTTTTTTTGCCACCTCGAGAGGGTAGTGTATCGTGAGTTTCTCTGTCAGGATCCTCAGAGGAATCTCTGCTCTGCTGCTTACTGCCTGTGTGGCAAGAGGAGTGGGAGCAATGCAAACAGATTCCGAACAAGAGACGGAAGAATGAAGAGAGGACACAAGATGAATGCCTCTGAAATGGGGGTGCGGCTGCTGGAGAGGAATTCTGCCTTTAAGGATAGGGAAAGACCCAGATACTCAGGGGGTCACGGGACGGCGGGAGTGAAAGGGGTAGAAGGCTGGATGGGTACGGGTTGACAACAGAATGATAGTCTCGCCACCAAGATAATTAGGTATTAGGTACGGGATACTCGGGCCCGCAGGTGAAGGAGAGTGGGATGGTGGTATCGAGAGAGAGGCGAAGGGTGGAGAGTGTAGCCTGAGTGAGCCGATGAGGAACGAGAATCTTCAACTGGCATGAAAGGGAAGAGGATGTGTACGCAATATAAGTGCCAATCAGCTCGAGGTTGGAGGAATGAGGGCCGATGATCTAGAGTGTGGTCTCTCTACTCACACACAGACATACACTCTGACCTGCGAGACCGATATCCATCTCGTAACGTACAGGGGGGGGAGAGAGGCCAAGAGACGAGCATGACCACCGATCCCAAGCGGAGAAGTGCCGAGTCGATCACCAGGGTCAGATCTGGCAGCCCTGTATAGACTGATAGTCTGTAGAGTATATCAATCGCGGATGCCATGGTTCACCCCTCGCTGGCACCCTTTCACGCGGGGAAGACACGTCCAGGCGTGTGTCGAGCGAGGACCGCTACGGGTGCTTTGACGTGATGGCAGCAGATACAGTGAGCCCTGTCGACATATCGCGATCCATATCATCGGGCCCGGCGAGGGGGGCGTGTGTCCAAGGGAGGTCGAGCCAGCACCCCTCCAGCTCAATCTGGCAAACGGTCAGAGGAGCCTCGTCTTCCTGTGAAGGAGGGTGCAAGCTCAGGTCAGCTCGAATAGGAAGCCCATCCACAAAAATTCAGCCAAGTGGTATCCCAAAGAGGGGCCTGGGGCAAGGAAAGGAGAGCAGGGTGCCTGGCGTGGGCGAGGAGAGGTGTAGCTACTGAGCCCTACCGAGCGACTCATCTCGCACGCCACTAGTACGATGGATCAGTCGCGCAGCAGGACCTTGACGAACAGGTAGGGGACGATGACAGGGTGTAGCAAACGCGCATCGCCTACTCCGCAGCACATGGCTTTGCAGGATGTACGTTGGAACATGCAAGGGAGGGGTGGCTGCACGCACCATCTCATGATCCCACCATAACCTCGATGACAGCGCAATGGCCAGGTATGTACCTGAGATTAGCATCTGAGACAAAGAAGACGACGCGCTGCGCGCTTGCATTCCCCAATCCGGAGTGGGGGAGAGCGTTTTCCCTGCGATGCCGTCGAGGGACCGTCGCGTCTGAATAGATGGGCCACGATCCAATAGAGGGCGACCGCGACGACCTTACAAAGGGATGCACCACGCCCAATTCGCCTGGCCAGGAGCAAAGGCGCTGGCACACAACTGATGCTATCCAACAATAGCAGATGGGGTCAATGTCGATAAAGGGAAGAAAGGGCTCTCGCAAGGATTCAATTATCTGTTTCTTTCATGCCTTTTCATGCCTCTAGCTGTGGTGAAGGGTTGTGGCCCTCCGACCTGCGTCTGACTCGGACTCAGACTGCGAACTCGTCCTCATTGTCCTCCCCGATCGTGATCTTCTTCCTCGTCTTGCCCGTGAGTTGCGCCAATGCTACCTTGTTGACCTGCCCACCAACCTTCTTCTGCATCTTGGCAATCTCCTCCTCGGCGTCCAGGGCTTCGGCTTCGGCGTAGTCGAGCACCAATCTCCTGCCCAACAGGTGGGTGTGCTGTAGCGCATCAATTGCATTCTGCGCCTCCTTTGGCGTCGAGAACTCGGCAAACGCAAAGCCGCGAGTCGACTGACCCATTTTCTTGGGAAGCCGTACTGCCCGCAATGTCCCGTACGTGGCGAACAGCGCCCGCAACTCCTTCTTGCTGATTTCGAACGGCAGGTTCTTGACCACGATCTTGGTCCGTTGACCCGCCATCATCTTGGCCTTGTCTTCCCTTCGCCTCTCTTCCGCCGCGTCTTGACCCCTGTGCGACGCCCTAACGCTGAGCGTGTGTGCATCCAAGACCTGCCCGTCCATTGCCTTGATTGCAGCCTGCGCCGCTTCGCTGCTGCGGAAGGCAACAAAGCCGAAACCCATTGATAGAACCTGACCAGGTTTTTTCGCGTCCGTCTTTGTCTTGACCTTGGCTGACACAAAGCCCTCCAAGGACTTGAATGCGTTGGTGAGGCCCTCCGACGTTGTCGAGAAGTTAAGGTTCCGGACGAAAAGTGACTGCCCCACGACCTCTTCCTCTTGATCGTCACGCTCCAACAGCTGTGTCACATTGAGCTTCTGCACGCCGGCAGGCTGATCACCCTGTGCCGGCGTCACCTGCACAGCATCATCAGGTCCAAACAGATCCTTCGGCCCTTTCTCGAGAAACAAGACTGAGTCTTTGATCCGACGGTAGGCGAGCCTTCCGAAGGCTGCCTTGCCCTGTCCAGGGGCGTACTGGACAATGGCGATCGTCTTGCTCGGTGGCATAAGTACCCGGAGCACAGTTCCGTGCTCCGCGAACAGCGTCCGCAACTCTTCCAATGTGGTCCCGTGGGGAAAGTTTTTTACTAGGATGGTCGAGTCACCACGCTTTTGCGACTTGAGGGCGTTCAGGTCAACACCATTGGCCAGAAAGTACGCCTTGGTTTCTTGGATCACCGACGTCTCGGCCACAGCCTGTTTCACAGCCGCCGACGCATCGGTAGGGTCCAGAAGGTCCGACTTGGAGACTCCGAGACGGCTCGCCACCGAGGTGTTGATGGCGTCCTGGCTCATATACAGCGCATTCCAGTTGAAGGTGTTGGTGGAGGCTTCGGCCTTCTTGCGGACCCGCTGCTGAACCTTCAGGGGCAGTTTGGACAGCGAGTATTCGTCCATATCCTGGTCCCGCCGCGCAGCCGCGGGTAAAACATGGAGCAGTCGCCCTTGAAAAGTCTGCCCATCTGACGACTGGAATGCAGTGACAGCGGCATCAGCACTGGCAAACGAGACGTATGCGAATCCCTTGCTCGTCCCAGACTTTGCCACCGGGATGTGTACCTGAGACCAACTTGTCAGTATTCTGATTCATGGGTAGTTCAGAAGAAGCGTCATGAGGAGATGATCATGTCAGAAAGCCAAAGCATCTACTAAAATACTGGTCCAAGGTTCGCATCAACCACCAAAGGTGTAAGCTGTCCCTATCTGGATTCATCATATGATCGGTGGGGCTGTCGTATGTCATGGGAGTGTGAAAAAAAGGGGGGTGCCTACCTCCTCGACTTCTCCGTACTGTTCAAAGTGGTCACGGAGATCGTCCTCGCTGACACTGAAAGCCAGGTTTCGCGCAAATAATCGCGCGGTCTGGCGAATGGTGTTGATGGCCACCTCCTTGTCAGACGGTGCCGGCGCAGCCTTCGGCAACTCCTCTGCGGGTGCCTCACTGTCTTGACTTTTAGATGGCTCAGCAAGTGGCTTCTGACCAACATCCTCTACGGCCGCAACGTCCTCCATGACTTCGTCCGCAGACTCTTCGCGGGTCTCCTTTTGGACTGGGGGCGGCAGCGGAATATCTTCATCGTCTGCCACGAGGTCCAACATTCTGTTGGTTCGCGAACGCAGCCAGTCATCGTCTGTAGCTACGGGGTCCACTACCTTGGAAGAGTCAAGCTGTGTCTTCGGAACAGGCTCGGCTTCCTGTGGTGATGCAACAGTGTCTTCGGTGTCTTCAACAGGTGTCATGTGTGGGGGCTGTTGAGGCGACTTAGGTTGCTGATTGCTTGGCGCTTCCCTCATCTGCTTCTTTTCTGGCCTCGTTGGGATGGTCTCATATTCATCATCGCTCTCGCCATCTTGAAGAAGCTTCTTCTTCTCAGCGATCGCCTTGCTGTCGATGACTTCGGTCATCTCATCCGCAGCATTGGTCTTTCCTGGCTGGAAAGTCTGCAAGTACTCCCGCAACCTGGGGTCAGATTCATCGACCTCGTCCCTCTTCCGCTTTTTGGCCGCTGCATCGCCGTTGGCATCCCGAACCGCGTTAGCCGGCGGGAGCGCTGTCGACGACGCTGCAGGGATCGATTGCTCGCTCTTCCAGTTCCTCTTCAGAGCAGGGTCTGCAATCTGAATCAAACTGTTAGCATGCCTGTCACTCTTCTTGGGGGCGGGGCAGGGTAAAACATACAGGTCTTGCAAGCTGCACTTCGATCCTCGACATGCGGATGTACGACTTGTTGAAGTACCTCACGGCCTTCTTCGCATCCTCGGATGTCTTGAAGCCGACATAGCCAATTCGCCGAGGCAATATGACCTTGACATCGGTGACTTCTCGTCCGCCAGCCGAGAAGTGCTTCTTGAAGTCGGCATCGCTGATCGTCGGGGGGATGCCCTTGACGAAGATTCTTGACGTCTCGAACTCTGCGTCCGAAGGCTGTGCCGACATTTTTCTGAGGGGGTTTGTGAATAAGCCTTGAGGGCGGTAGGGTCCGGTACTATGAAGGCTGTAGCATTGTGGTGTGGTGAAGTGATGGCAGAAGCCGCTTGAACCGTATGGCAGAATCCATGGAGTACTTTTTTTTTCGCGACTTTTTCTCCTCTGGCAGCTCCTTATCGCTATCAACATGTGACCGTTCGCCTGTTGGGCGCCCCGCCATTAGCACGCGGCAGTCACGACCACACGACCCACAGCAGCATCATGTCCACTCTAACTGGGCACCTAGGACCGCAGGTAGGTATGGGAGAGTCCGTGAGTGGCCCGTGCTGCATGACAACCCAATCCCAGTCGCGCAGGGACCTCTCTACAAGTGCTAGCTGGAGTGGAAGGAGATCGCGAAACACCAAAGCAAACAAACCCGGCCAACCCACCAGCTTCCTAGGACGTGAGGCGAACACATCTGGGAACCAGTCTTCCACCTCAGGCTCTGTCTTCAGTAACTATCGTTGCCTTAACAAACACGGTAAGTGCGAGATCTACGACACCGCAGCATTTGCGCAACGAGCGCGGCTTGTCGCCCAACCCTCGAAAAGGGGCAGTTGGCAGCTTGTGCCCAAAGCATGACCGCCTGTACTGAGAGACCATCTTAGCTCAGCCGCTGACAGCAACTTGACAGCTCAACCACCGGACGAAGCAAATCATGGCCGACAAGGGAAGTGCTGAGGCTCCACGGGAGGCGAAGCTTGAAGGTTTGTCGCCCGCCTACCGCACCTGCCAAGACGACAGTCCGTACTGACGCGCATTGCGACAGCCCAGATCAAATCCGCAGACATGGTATGGTGATTGCGATTGTCATCGAAACATGCCAAGGCTGACACCTGCCAGACCGACGATATGCAACAGGAGGTCATCGAAGTTGGTGGGTAGCTGCTAGGTCAATCACTGGTGGTAAGAGGATTCTAATACGCCGTGGCACAGCTCAGGAAGCGATGGGTCGATTTACGATTGAGAAGGTATTGATCGCCGGCTCCTATGAACCCGATATGCGAAGCTTACAAGATATCTTAGGACATTGCCCAACAGATCAAGAAGACGGTACGAACTTCCCCGCCATCCGCCGCACGAACGAGGTACTGACGTTTCGGGATCAGTTCGATGAGCGCAAGGGTCCGACGTGGCACTGCATTGTCGGCCGCAACTTTGGAAGCTTTGTGACGCACGGTACGAGTTGATGGCGTCGATGCCTCATTATTTCCATCGAAAACTGAACATTGCTGACACAAATAAATCCCACTGAGTAGAGACGAAGCATTTCATCTACTTCTACCTTGGCCACTGCGCCATCCTCCTCTTCAAGACCCAATAATGGGCGGGGCAACCGACCATACGATGACCGACCTTAAAATCAGCCCGGAGTTCCCCTTTTATTTTTGCCTTTTTGCTTCGAGGGACGCAGCAGCGTACGAAAGAAACGAGACTCTGAACTGTGGACGAGGATCAAACGAGTACGGCATGATGCGAATATGGAATCGCCTGTGTTCGGAAACGGATTGGTCTGGGTAGCTTCGTCTAAGCGAGCCATCGGGTCGACCTCGTCGATGGATATAGTTCGCAGCGGGGCTGTTCTTGAGCAACTCGTTCTAGACAATACCCAGTATCAGGCCTGAATCATTTTAAGGTCATATCCAGTGCAGTATGCGATCAAACCTTGAGGGACCTGGCGATAGCGCAATAGATGTTGCTCGAAGAATCGATCGAGCAAGCTAGGTGCGAGGTCCATACCTACAATGAAGGCCAAAACTGTACCGAACCCAGATCAGCAGACGAGGGGACCTTGAACACCAGATATCGTGGTCAACCAATATCATTCTGTCAAGACTGTCGAGCACTTGGCCGCGCGGTCTATTACCCCCCCCATCATAAGCCACGGGTAAGCTCCAGCTCTAACGTGCATTCAATGCCACGCGAAAATCCCGTCCATTGTCTCCGGAAGCCGCCCCGATGTCGCCAGCAACGGTACCCCTCCCCCGCCCCACTCACTATGTCTGCCCGCAGTGTCAAATTGCCCCCAAGGTAGGATCGACACCCGCCTTCTGCGGGTGCTTGAGGAAAAGCACACCCCTCTCACCCGGGAACGCTATTGCGAAGAAGGCCGGGTCCTCCAACTCTCTCTTTACCGGTCCACAAAATTCCGCTTCGGGGGACGCGGGAAGGGGAGCCCGCAGGAGGGTCAATGGGAGCACGACGGTTATGGGGGTGAGGGGCACACGCTGGTTCTGGTGCGTGCGTGCCGTCCTCCTCTACCCTCCTGCTCGGCCACATCTCTGGGACAAGCTGGTGCGTGCTGGCAAAACATGATAAATATTCTTGTGACGGCAAACCAGAACGCGCGGTGTTGTTCTTAATAATCGCTGCGATCTCCGGTCTAGAATGCTTGCCGGGGCTCAATATGGACAAGCAGATTTGATTTAATTCCTGCATGGCAGTCGAAACAACCCTCAGCTAATAAACTGTACGTTTAGGTTAGACTACCAAATTAGACGATGGTCTGATGGCCTCGCATCAAAAAGTCCCTGCTGCAGTAGGCAAGCGCTGTTGCCGCTTTAAGATGCATGTTGGAGGAGAACAAATTGGGATTCCTGCTGCTACTGCCTCTCACTTGCATGAGACATCAGTACGTGAGGTAGGTACTCTGGGTCAGTTCTTTACGGGTTGTTTACCAAGACGACTTGTATGCAACAGCGTACTGTACTTTTAGCTTTGAGTGTAATACATCGTCTTGATGGTTGCCACTATGTGCCTCCCCTACCGCCAGCGGTTCTTCCATGCCTCTTTTGTATGGCTTCCATTCTTGCTCTCAATGCCAATGGCTCGACTTGAACTGGCGTCTGAAATGATGCTGTAGAATGAAGTGTCTGCGTCCGCAACTCGTATCGAGGAGACTCGTTACTTCTGCTTTCATTCTACCTACAGAACCGTAACTGCAAGCTGTGGAGAGTCCTGCAATCCCATAACAGTTCAACTGCGGAGCTCAGGTGTAGAGCTATGAGACAGAGCACGTCCTGGGCTTTGAGGGGCGAACCGCTTCATCATGGCGCGGTTGCCGTGATTGCATCTTCTTGTAGAAGGCGCCTACCAAGTTGTGGATGCCCATGATGGTTCAATATCCCCAAGAGGACGTTGAGGCAGAGAAAGAGAGGCCAGCCAACGTTCTCTACTCCCTCATTCAACCTGGCTCGAAAGTGTCGGGCTCGAATCAAGGTTGGAGGCCGGGTGACATGGCATATCTTCTGGCTGACGAACAAAGCTTACCTTGCGTGAAAGTACATGGTATGGTGGCCTTCCTACGCTACATTCGACAGAGGTAGCTGCATATTAACGTATAGAACACAGAACTTTGGCTTGTTGTAGTCTTGGCTGGAAGGTCACGGCACTGGCCAGAGCATTGGTTTCTTTCCATAACATGGTTTTCAAGCTATTTACCCTAGCAGCCTACTTGATGGGCGTAATCTTGTCAAGGCATAGTCGCACTCTCCCTGTATCTCTGGTTCAGAGACAGCTTGATCAATCCCAGGCCATAGGCCAAGGACCTTTTTAGGCAAGTAGCAATGAATAGACGACAGGTACACTGGAGTGTCGGATTCAGATGTAGCCTCGAACTTATTCCTGCCGGGTCGTGTTATTGCCTGAGGAGATTTGAGACGAACACCCTCGAAATCATATTTCCGCAGTCACTTACTTAGTAGCCATACCTGAACTATGACTCCAAAACGAACATGGGGCAAGAAGGGGCAATTGCGCCATAATATCTGAGCGTTGGAAACTAGCTATGATCCAGGACAGGACACCTTGACAAAATGAACCCCAGATTCGTCGTTGATGTCGTTGGTCCAATAGCAATAAGGCTTTGTCGCAGGCCAAATATCTGCCCTCGGACGTTCCCATTGAAGAACACTTTGCTCCATGGTGGTTCCGGCTCGAACATCTACCAGGACTGCGTGGCCCATGCAAACCTAATTGCTCTCGATGACCCGACTAAACAGTCACATCAAATCATGCCCGCAGCTTCCCGACACCTGATGTAGTAATATACGGCAGCTCGCTACCGTGTGTTCCAATCCTCGGGTGACAAGAGACGGAGACGGATCGACTCTGAATTAGCCAATTAAAGCAGCGAGCGATTGGAACATATCTGATTCATGAAATGGTTACCAAGCAAGGTTCCTGAACATTCGTCACCAAGCTTCTGACGCACATAGACTGTGCAGGAAATCCATCAGACGTCAATCAGAGGATCCCAGGTGGGCCGATCCTTCTTGGTACGTGCTTGATCAAGACGGATTACAATTCACCACCGCTTCTTGCTCAATGCCGCATCAGCCACGTAAGGTCTGGCGCTCCGAGGTTGCAGCTTGGAGTGGGCTATGCAACGCTTTACGGAACAACTATGGACTGCATTGTTCTCCGGACGAACGCAATCAAGGTACCATGTATTTGGCCGCACCCATGTCATTCATGGCTTGCCTCGGTGCATATCCAAGCGGTAAATGCGGGGGCCATCAGTTCCCGTGATATTGGGCGGCGGGAAGGGTGTCGGAGCGACGGCAGCGAGACTCTTTCACCTTAGCGCTCGCTGGTCGACGTTGTCCCGCCCCGACCGACTGAGAACATGCTGACAACCTTTTCTCATTGTGTGCGACCCTACCCTGCGAGCGGCAGCTCCGAACCGAGCAGGTCGAGTCACTGCCCCGCAGTTTTCAGTGGTGATGGGAGACCTCGACTTCCTCTCACCGGGGAGAGCAAAAGGCGCACAAACGGTGCCACTTCCATAAAGTCAGTGATTCTTGAGTCGTAACATGCACTTCAGGTGGTCGGCAAAATATGGGCAGCAGCGGGACTAAGGTAGGCACGGGGGCGTACGAATCTATCGACACGATACATCGACTACTTCCCAAGTAGGAAAGAGAGGGGTTCAAGTGGCCCGGAACAATGTTGAAGTCACACGAGGTACACACCATCTTCTGGTGGGATTCTTGAGTTCGGGCCAGTCCGGTCCTCGTGGAGCAATTGCCTAGTGCAGAGCATGGCAAATGGGGCAAGCCTGTGGGGGGATGGGTGTTAGACCCAGATCATGACCGCCGGCACACTCGCCTTGCGTGAGGCAATATTGGATGGAGGGTGGGGGGCCCATCTGTCCCATCTCTTGTGCTGGGGATCAGGTTGTCTTGTGCTGTAGTCTCGGACCTGCAGGAGTGTGAGGAGAGAACATGCGAGATGCTGGCCTGTTTGTCCGTGAACGATGTCGGGCATCAATCGAATCATTGAGGAAGGGTCGCACCAAGTCTACACGGCCTGCTGGAAACGACCTGCTGGCTTCAGCACATACAATGCAACATGCCAACGGAGCTGACGGGAAGTACGGCCATGGCGAAAATGACAATCGGGCCTATCTGGGTGTAAGCTGATGGGTTGCTGTACAACTCAAAAGAGCACCCTTCACTTCGATTGGCCTGGATCGGCCAAGCATTCGCCGCCAGGCGTTTGAGTGCTGCGTAATAGGCTGCTTCGTCAAGCGTTTGGCACCTAAATTTGGCGACTGATCCAGAGTGTAATGGTACAGGCACCAGCCATCACCCTTTTTTAAAGGCGGGCAGCGCAAGGCTTCGAGACCAGCATCAGAATGTATTCAATCTGATGCCGTCTGTGCCACTCACTGAGAAGATGCTCGGAATCCCAAACCAAGTCCGCCGCTGGACACGGCAAATCAGCTAAGGCGGCTTGTGGCGCATCGTACACCCTCGTTCATATCTTCGTGTCCGCACCCATAAATTCAATGGATATGACCAGTAATCACGGGGAAGATTCGACATGCTTCTTGTCAGCCACCACACCCCCAAGAAAAACCCTGAGACGAAGTAGGGGGATAACGTTAGCCCCCAAACTCAGGGCCAGCGACGGCAAGACCGCACAGAAGCAAGGCGGCGCAGCGGGTTTGGTTTCATCATGGCTCAGACCAGCACTTCAGCACAGCCCTACCAGCGTGGAGCAGCGAATAATCTAGACGCCTGACTTTATTTGGCGCAGCGTCGTGTGGCCGTGGGGCGGGATCAACAGGAGCGATGCGCGCTGCGACGGGTGTATGCGTCCCTAGAGAATAGGTCGTTCGCCCGCCCGGTTCGGCACATGGATCAACGATGTGCGATTGTATATGGAATCCTCGCTCACGGAGTGTGATGAAGACAGGCCCCAGGCCAAAAATACGTTCGCCCAGGTGTAGCCAGCGATATAGGTTGTTGAGCCCAGCTCGCCACACGTGCCAAGGTAGCGCACATTCTCGCCCCAAGCAGGCCTTTTGGTTGTTTCAGTTGGTGCAGCACATTGACGAACTTGATTCGGGTTGAGGCGAGACGAGGCAAGACGAGGCGTGAGCAAGGCGTCCACCTGGCTGGCCTGACCGAAAAGAAAAAGACGCCTCGTTCTTTGAGCGACAAATGGCATTCGGTGACCGGTATGTGCCACGGATGGCTTGGAGACGAGACACAGAAGCATGCCGGACACAACCTGCCAGATCAATGCCGTGGCATGAGCAGCAACGCTGTCTCCAAAGCACTCATTGCCTCTGTACTGCCCTGCGTCGGTTCAGTGCATCCGAGATCGAAAGGCGATGCCCGATGAACCTGATCCAGGTGGAAGGCACGTTGAGGAAGTAGTTTCACTCTTTCCTGCCGGGAACTTTACTCAGCTCCTGCCCGCCTGGCACGAGAATGATGACAGACACCCAGTCCAAGGCAGTCGGTCGGGGAGGCGTCCGCAAGGTTCGACACGGGCGGGCGATAAGCCAGGTGACTGACCCAAGTGCTAGCAACCACTCCTACGATCGGCCTCGCCCTCAAGAACGGTTTCCTTGCTCGTCTGTTGGGCGATCTAGTCGTTCGTCATCAAGGTCACCAGACCTGCCCAGCACCTCGGTTTCATGACGCCCAACGCTGCTCGGCCTCCAGCGGTGAAGCAGGCCAAGTGAAAGACTGCCTACCTCGAAAGTCACGCCAGCAGAACACCGGGCCAGTGAGGCCATTCCACTGTAACAAGCCCACCTGTCGGCCATGACGGCGACGGCGACCGCGTCCAGCCCGTGAGGAAACAGCGGCGATGCGCTACTGCCACCCCTTCCTGCGGGTCTTGGTCGCTCATGCACGGGCCAGGTACCCGCCAGGTACCTCCCTGGCTCCTGGGTAAGTTACCCTTCCAACCGCTGTCGTCTTGCCGCAGCAGACTGCCAGGGACTGTCAGCAGGGTTGTCCAGACTCGACTCGGACTGGCCCGGATTGGATTGTTTGGCGAGGTGAGCGGGTGTCGGCGGGCTGAAGTGATGTGAGCTGGGCTAGATCGGGCTGTTATGTGAGGTGATCAACGTTCTTCTAGTAGACCCCCTCTTTACAAGAACTCATAGCCCAGAAGCATCATGACATTCTTCGTTTTGGCGAGGCTCATGCCAGATCTGGGAGGGAAAGATTCGGGCCCGGCAACGTGGGTATAGCATGGTTGCTTGCCATAGACTTGCCTCGCACAGATTAAATCATCAGGGGGATACGCAACCAAATTAGTGACAGCTCGAGCCCCCCGTCCCATCCACTCGTCGCTCCATTTCCTCATCGACCCTGGCTGTTCTCGGGGTCCTCACCCTCGCTCGGGAGTGACGAGTGCAGGTTCATTTTGTGATGTCAGCGACAACGGTATGGTCAAAGTCAGCCGCAAAAGCCTCTCATCGTACATGTATGCGCGACGGGCGAGAAACTCGAGCCGGCCATCAATTCCGAACCACCGACCCAAGTTCTCCAATCATCATCCTCTGTAGCGGCTGTCCGAGACGACCAAACTTTGGACACTCGCTCGCCATTATTCAACCAAGATGGACGATGAGGTCCGACCATGGGTGCTGTTACCGTGAAAGCTCCACTGGACATGGGCAATCATACGAAGTCGATGAGCACCTCCGTTCTCGCTTCTATCGCCGCAGCTGTATTCGTTTGCTCGGCTCAAAAGTCTCAACTGGATGGACTCATCGGCCCAAATCCGCATCCCATGAGGTGCGATTCCGGGAGGGTGGGGCACTAGTAGTTCGCTAGTCGGGTGAGCCATCACCGCTTCGAACGACCATGGGGGCCCTTCCAATCTGTGATTGCGGGAGCAGCGGTAGCCAGTCTGCCCAGCCCTGTCCTGTCCGTGGTCTCCCTGACTAAGGGACTAACCCGGTTGAGGAGCGATGGCCCCTCAGCCACAGCTCTAGTAGGTTGTCAGTAGGCCACAACTGTGGCCTATCGTCCACACGAAGTTTGGCTGCGACTGCCTCAGCAATGATGCTGAAGAAGTCACAGGAGCTGGAGGCAAAAGTAACATTTGCGCCAGATTGAGTGTGTTACTTCCGTCGGCGGATGGCTGACATGAGCTGCAAGGCAAGGTTGGTCTGGCCCAGTCAGTTAGCCGGAAGCGAGAAAACCACTTTTCGTGACTGAGCGTTAAAGTGTCGAATCGCTGCAGCGTCCACAAACGGAACAGCCGTCAAAAGTAACCCAAGAGAGTGGGCCGTCCACGTCCGGATCTTGAAGTCAACCTCATTGATGTGCGGTTTGTTTTCCTTGGCCTCGTCTTCGGCTGCAACGATGGGGAAGCCAAGATCAGATGATGTGCACCACTGGACAGCGAAATGCTACTTTGCCCGGCTCAGACGAACCGTCATTGTCGATCCATCTGTGTATGATTGAGACATGTTGAGCTCAGACACGCAAGCCGCGTCCAAGGATGGGAATTGGCTGAGGGCGGGTGAGCTCGTCCGTGCTGCCTGACGGGCTCTGCGGCGTGCCCTTTGCTTGTCAGGTGTGAAACTGCAGCGGAACCGCCCCGGATGAGTTCCAGTCGGCGAGGTTTCATGCGGACATCTCTGTTGTCTTCTCCTTCATGTCGAGAAGTCGAGCAGACGCCCTACAGTGGCTGAGATGATGCCTCTAGCGGACACAGAAGAATGTCAAGATGCCGCAACACACGGAGAGTTAAGACGATCCAGAGATCCCCACTAACGCCTCTTCAGGCCCAGCTGCAGCTCCAAACACAAGCAAACATTGTCGCGACCAAGTGGGCAGCCCGATGGCCACGTGCACTACGTCTGCAAAGCAATTCATGATGAGGAGACGACTTTTCGTCCGGCAGCCAGGGGAGGAGAAATGATGGGGGTCTTGCGCCCCATCGGACAAGTCGTCTGGCCTCCCACCTGCAAAGCTAAAGTCCAGCCAGTGGAGACGAACACTCTTCGGGGGTCTGGGGTCCAGTTTCGGGCCTGGCTGACAAAACTACCTAGGTACCAGCAAGCTCCTCTGGAGTGGCACAGGAAATGACAAAGAAAGGCAGGTTGGACAACAAAGTGAAGCAAGGACCATGGACCATGAAACGCACAAGATGCCCTTCAATCACTTTGCTGTCTACTTGGTTGGGTTGCCGATTGGCACACCATCGAATGCTCTTGAACGCCATGCAAAGTGAGGCGTTGACTAGACATCTATGTTGCCCGTGAGACATCGCCTGCGGAGGGTACCCGAAGTACATGTAGAGGCAGGTACTCTGCACCCCCTCCCTCCTGCCGTTTTACGAAGGAAAGCTGGGCCCCGCGGCCAGCACACCCACCAGGCCCCAACCTGAGAAGGGAAGCCCCCAAAGGTGGCCAAGTACTGTGCTTGTATCTTCTGCAGAAACCCTCCCTGGCTAGCCTCCAGCTGGCGGCCCATCCTGCACCAGTCACAGACCGCCGAGGCCAGCTGCGAGGCACGGTACGGCGGCCGGCACCCTCCCTGTCGCAGCGCACTAACAGCCTGAGTACCCACAGCTGGTGACGGTGGGAGGTGCTGCCAGCAGTGAGTCCAGCCCAGACGAGGGTGGGTGAGTGTGGAAATAGTGACTGTATCCACTCCCCTCACCACACCTCTTGCTCCCCGTCTGGTACGACGTGACTTCCAGGCCCATGTCCCCCGTGCCTCGTTCCCACTCAATTGTCAGGTACCTCCAACCTGACCCGCCCTGCCTGCCTGCGTGCCAGTTCCCTCGGATCCTCCTGACCTCACCTCACCACTTCACCTCCTCCTCCTCTATCATCCTCTTTCCGGTCTCCTCACACGACCTGGCCCTTCACTCGAACAGCCTGTTTGTTCGGTGATTCACCTGGACCTTTTGTCAGGCTGTTTGTATTGTTCAGCCAGGTGGCCAACCTACAAGCCCGACAATCCACTCCATTGGCCTCTTTGTACCAATACCTAGACACCCCTTCGACTCGTACCGACAATGTGACGGCCGAACCTTCAGAGAACCTTCTCTTTCGACCAACCTCTTAAGAGTCTGAGCCTCACACGAGCCACCGATTTCTACCATACCCATCCTCCGAGCTACAACATATCCACTCGTATTTACGGGATCACTCGCGACCTCCCTCTGAATATCTCCACACAACCTCACAATGGCCTCGCTGAAGGTCCCAGATGCGGGCCTCCAGTTGGAGGGCTCCCCTGACGCTTCGGTCGGCGTACCTACACAGGCTTTTGCCCTCAGTCTGTCTGACAGCGTTATTGAGGACATGATCAGGTGTGTCCAGAATGGCGAAGACATCCAGCTGTCTTTGGGAAACAGCCCGGTAAGTCCCCCCCTGCTGGAGTCGACACGTCTATACCCTTTCCCTTTGCATAATTGCATTGTCGTGCGGACGACCATGACCACATCGGTCGTTTGCTCGAATGACAAACAACAGGCTACGCAATTGGAGCTTGTGCTGCCGTTCTCTCCTCCTTGCCTCCATATCTTTCCTGAGGCGACGAGTCCTGTGGGGTACCAAACTGACCGCAAGACTGTTATAGACCTTCCTGTACGGTTCAGATTCCTTCACGCCTTCGCCGATATCCGATCCCGCCTCCGTCGACATTTTCCTCACAAAGCCCTTCGAATCCACCAAGATCGCCTCTCGAATTCCAATCACAACCTCACTCTGGCAGAAACCAAGCTCTCCACGATCTGATACCAGTGAACACAATGCTTCTGCCAGATCCAAAAACCTTGCTTCGTCCTCAGCATCTTCTGCTCTGGACTCAGATGCAGAAAACCTACAGAATTCCATGGCAGCAGCGGAGGCATCGAAGAAGCAGTACGTTTTGGGCGGTTTGTGGCAAGAAAACCTAGTTGGATGGTCACTAACAGGAACAATAGCTCACGCATTCTTGAGAAGTCGATGCCTACACAAAAAAAGCCATCAGCCAAGGCGAAATCCAAGTATCTTTCGAGCATGGCGTCGTATGGTACAGGCGGCTCTCTACCGTCTTCCCCAGCGTTGACAGCGGTGGGGTCTCCATCTCTTAACCAAGGCTACGGTGCTTCTCAACAATCGAGGGACAAGGCCAAGGGTCAGAGGACCATGATTGTCCACGAATTAGCCGCAGCAGATCAGTCTTATGACTTCCTGGAATCAAAATGGGATGGCAAGGCGGACGACTTCAAGCTTACTCTTGAAAAGGTTGCCGACTTCGACAACAGTGCACAAAAGTGGATGCTAAAGAGACTTTACTGGAAAGAACTGGACGTTTGGAGATATGATTACGACAGTCCTGACGATAGGCAAAAGGCTATCGACAATGCTATTCGGGCCTTCGACAAGATGCGGTTGGGAATCGAGGAACCCGAATGGCAAAAGCTGCTCCCCAAAGATGAGCGTGGCAAGGGGAAAATCCTGAGCAAACTGCAAGCCAACATCGCCAAAGGCCCGGCTGTGCCAACACCGAAGATCAAGGTTCAAAAGGCCGACGATGGGACAAGCGATGCGGGCGGCGAAGACGCACTCAAGATCGATGATGGGAGGAGCTCGGTGCGATCCAACTCATCATTGCCGGGGAAAAAGAAGGTCAGCAGCGCCGATGCACAAGTCAAGAGGCTCTTGTCGAACAAGCCCAGCAAACCCAAAGCAGCCCCAGCAAAAGCGCCGGCCTCCAAGTACGCGAAGGACAGGGTTTCATCGTCTGCACCGGCAAAGGGCGGCAAGGTACTCTCAGCGGAGTTCATCTCAGACTCCGATTCAGAGTCTTCAAGCAATAAGCCGATGGCTAGTGTCTCGTCATCGAAGACCAAGAGGCCATCGCCAGCCCCGGCTCCTAGGCCGAAGGAAAAGCCAGCCCCAGCCTCGGCCCCGGCCCCGCGACCTAAGTACCCTCCTAGACCGAAGCCTGTCGAACGGCCAGCCGAGCAGTCAAATGAGCGACTGGTGGATCGTGAGCCCACAAGGCAAGCCAAAACACAAGCGCCGGTCAAGCGGCGCAGAGATGAGGAGCCGGAGGAGAGCAGCTCAAGTTCGGGCGCGCCGCTCGCCAAGCGTATGAAGCCGAAAATGTCAACAACTGGTGAGAAGGCACCGATCAGGCCTCCAACGAAGCTCAAGCAGCGACCCATCCCTGCGGACACGACACGAAACTCCTTGGCTTCAAACGGTAGTCTCCCCTATAAAGCCACCAAGAACACTTCGCCGACCAAATCTTCGCCACTGGCCTCCTCGCCGCCGACGAACGCTTCAGATCTTGAGCAGCGACGCCAGCTCCCTCCGGACCTGGCCCCCATCAACCGCAAGCGCAAGGTCACTGCTGACACTTCTGATGATGGCTTGTCAAGCAAGGGCAGCACCACAAGTGCCGACAGCAATAAGCGATACAAACCCATTGGCCAGGATCTTGTTCGCAAAGCACACAAGTTCAAGATGTTCTATGAGAAGTACGCATCGCTACACCGAGAGATTGCGAACATGGACCATCCGCCAAAGGATCGACTGGCCGATCTGATCGATATGCGACAGCGGTTACAGAACATGAAGACGGACATCTACAGAGAGTGCCCGCCTGCCATCGCGGCAGTCTAGAAGTGATTCCGGTAGGTACAATGAGTGTACGATGAACGGCCGAGGGGTGTGCGGACAGCATCATGAAAGGACCTTTCAAGAGCGCCTCAGCTCAAACGAACCAAAGCATCAGCAACAGCGTTTTGTTTTCTTTCATTATTTCTTTCAGTTTAATGGGGCATTTGCATCAGACCAGGATCAGGTCAGGATATCGACGACACCGGCTAAGGCCCAGGTCATTCTGCTTTTTGATATTGCATGGACAAAATGGCAAGATGGAGCCAGCAGCTGCGCCTGGGGACAGGCTACCGCAAATCCACGTTCTTTCTTCCTCTTGATACCACAAGCTGTTACAGTTGAACAGACACAATATGCCTGATTGAATTTAACGGAAATGCTGATACATTGGGTTGTGATTTCGAAGTCGTATCTCTTAGTAGCACTAAAAGTACTCTTTCAAACCCCTCAGTGAACGACGAAATGTCATGCTTCTGGTTCATCGCTCTAACCTAAGACAACTTTCCTCGTGACGACGTGACCGCAACTTTTCTCCCTGCATCCACCACACGCGGGAACGCGCACCGTTTAGTGTTAGCCCAATCTTCAATTTTCTGCTCCTTCTGCTTGCTTTTGCTTTTCTTCTTTCGCTCCGGTTTTTTTTCCTCCCTCCCCAAAAAAGCGCCTTCAAGCTGGCACGAGACATGGTTGCGGGAGGGGGAATCATCTGGCATGCGGGTGGGAAAGTGACCAATCGGCAGGGTGACGCGGATCGGCGTAGAGGTCGTCGATCAGGGAAGGGGGGGTGGAGGACTGCCTGCCGGGCGATCAGGGCATGGTGCGGGATCGTTGGGGGGTTCTCGAAGGGGCCCCAGCCAGGGTGGAAAGGGGGGGGGGGGGGGGGGGGGCGGGTTCCCCAATGGCGGTGGCATCAGCTTACTTGGGCCCCCTTGGGTTTGGTCCTGTTTCGTCTGAATTGTTTGAGCTTGGTGGGTTTGCGTCTGATGGTAAATTTGATGTTGAGGAAGTCTTCATGCATAACTAACTACGATGGCTCCCTGCGCTGGGCTTTGATTGCACTGGCCCCTTGGAGGTGAAGATCCTTGTCAACTGCACGAAACCACTTGAGAGTAAAACTGAGGATTGACCCAACAACACAAACGTGATTGAGTGTGAATGATGGCCACCTACGTTGGGGAAAAGTGCGATCAAGCACATACCAGTATGATTGATGGTGTCTGATTGACAATCGCGCCACTCGCGATGCAAATGTCAAATCGCCATCAAAAAAGTTACTATGCTAAACGGCTACGGAGGGCCAAAGGCAAAGCACCATCGATTCGACCATATTACCGTCATGGTATCGCCATTTGGCTTCTTCCCTCATCCGCCATGGTCAGCAGCCGATCGCCCATCTCACCACAGCGACGACACATCGGTTGAGACCGGTTCTTTACGCACTGCAGGTGCCAGGTCTGACCATCTGCGTGCCTGTGGTCCAGCGGCTCTTGTAGACGACTTTACGATAGCCACAGAATTAACATCCGCCTCAAGTCCATAATCTCTTTCAGTGTCGACTATGTTCCGGGCGCCCTTCGACTCAGAAAACCTTCGAATGCATTCCGGGACCCATTCTCGTGCTCCATCGTGGGCTCGCACAAGACCCTCCTTCCCTCCCGACTATGTCCTGCCCCGCGATCGAGGCGTACGTGAAGGTGACGATGGCGACCTTATCCTCAAACGCGCACGCAACGACGCCTCCGAGTTAGATCGTCAGGCAAAGGTAGTTTCGTTGCAGATCGGGCTTCGCCATCTGAGAAACGCTTATGTGGAGGCCAAAAACCAATGTCAGGTAGCCCTCGACGGCTTCGACACAGCAACTCAAAAGGTTGCGTCGTTCGCCGGGCCAAAGGCAATCTGCCAGTTGTGGCAAGATTATCTACGACATCGGCAAAGTACTAGGGTAAGGATGTACGCTGCATTGGATGGTGTCAACTATTGTCTGCTCAACTTGGGACAGCAGCGTAATCGAATCACACTGCCCAAGTCGTTCGGCAAGCACCTCTGTAGAATAGTCAAGAGGGGACAACATATCATAAGGGAGTCTGCCGAAGCCAAGACCGAACACAGGGCGGCACATCGGCTCGTCATCACTATCACAGCTGCTGCTGCTGACGTCGATCCTGACTCCGAAGCCAACTATCGCCTGTTGCACGCTGTGGATCCGTCACTTGTTAGACAGAACCATGACGAACCGAAAACAAACAAGTCCACCGAGGACGAGAATACAGATGCCAATGATGGCAACCCGGTTTGATGAGACGAGTTGCGGAAGAGCCACAGTTAAGTGGAACGAATCAAATACGCTTGTAGAGACAATTTCGACAAGAGCCACTGTTCGTAGGTTTCGAGAAAGTGCTAGAGGTCAGCGAAAAGGAAGCGCGAGTCACATCCGTAGTGTCAAAAGGATGGGCAGAGAGTCGGACGCTATGATGTCGGGGCAATGGCTATCTAGATCTAGGAAGACTGCGCCGCACTCATCATGCGGTCAAGACAATTAGTAGTATTCCAGATTCGAGAGGGAAGAGTGGCGTCGTGATTTGGAGGAACTAACCTTGAAAAAATGACCAAGCATCGCCCTCTAGACAGAATGATCGGAATCGAGTTTTGGACGACACCAGCTGGGCAAAGCCCAGCCAGTGACCCCCAAGTCGCGCATCGCACTCAAGTACTTTGTACAATCTCCGCAACGGCTTCCCATAGGGATCACCAGGACGCGCCTCGCCGTCCCCCCGAGAGGGTATACACGAAGCGGCCTGGGCCCTGAGATTTCTGATGCCTGTTGCTGACGCCAATGGCGTCGAACCCTCACGGGCGGCTCGCGTCAGCCCGCGCGTGGCAGGTGACAACGGTATGTTCTTCGTAGAGATTTGCTCCGAATTTCCCGCATGCAAATGAGTGTCCCTTGAAAGGTCGACTCGAGATTCTGCTTGCACAGAATCTCTGTTCGTCAGCATGGAAGCGCAACTGTGTCTAGAGGGCGATGCTTGGTGAGGAAGGAAAGAAGGTTGAGGGCATGGCATTTTCGTAGCTCCAAACTTTTATTGCGGTCCAGTGTGGGGTCTCGCCTGGGCGGTGACTCAAGGTGCCTCATCTACCTTGGTAACTTATGATGGCAGCCTTGCAGGTCAGGCAGCCAATCGGGAGCTGAATTGCTGTCAGGCCAAGAGGGTAGGAAAGGCCGAAGGGTTCCTGCCTTCACGATGCCCCCACCTTCCCTTTCCCCTCAGGGAACCCCGCATGTGGATCATAGCACGAAAAAAGGGGTGTCGATATCGTGGGTTTTTGGTGCGATCCCGTCAACGGCGACAAATTCTTGGTCCCCCGTTGAAAATCCCCGCCGTCCTCATGATGCTGCATTGAGGGTCCATCTCAGTGTCGCATTTGATTTCATGTCATCGCCCTTTCTTTCCTTATCTCGATGCCATAATCATATCATTTCCAAACGCCTTCGTCATTGAGTTGTCGGTACCCAGGGCAATCACGATGCTTGAACCCAAGGACTTTCCTCAGATGTGGCAAAAGCCTTCAAGCCAAGATCTGCGTTCCTGTCTACAGAGCCTGGAAATGAGCCCAACTATATGGAGCCATATGAGCCGTCAGCCACAGATTGAGGAGGACCAAGAGGCTACAGCATATGTGCGACGCGAGATGTCGATGTATCTTTCCTCCATTGTCAAGAGTGGATTGACCTGGATTGATGACGAAGAGGAGAAGGAATTCATCTGGTCAGAGGCGAGCCGGAGATTATCAGAGCGTTGTGGCAGAACAGGTAAGTGACTTTCCCTTCTGCATTGCAACCATTTTTGACAATTCTAGCCATGGGCGAAATCACACGTCGTTGGCCTTGCAGGGGAAGCGAACAACCAAATGAGTTCGAGTTGATAATCCGAGAGCCGCCGCTGACCGGAGATTCGCTCGGACACAAGACGTGGGGCTCATCCTATGTACTCGCAAGGCACCTTCCACAGCTAACGTCAACTTCGCTGGCTCGACTGTTTGCCGAAAGTCAGAAAGAGTCTCGGCTTACCGTTCTTGAGCTCGGATCAGGAACAGGGCTTCTCGGTATCGCTGCAGCAGCTTTGTGGAAGGTCGACATTGTTATGAGCGACCTACCTGAAATCATGGCCAACTTGCATCACAATGCTGATGCGAACCGATCCGTTGTTGAGTCTCTCGGGGGCTCGCTGAATGATGGTGCCTTGACATGGGGTAGCACATCCAAGGGTGAAGTCGATCAAGCGCTGTTCGGTGAGAAGAATCAATTCAAAGTGAGTTCACACAGTCTTGTCGCAATCATCAGCTGACAACGAGCGAAGATTGTTCTGGCCGCGGACCCAATGTACGACGATATTCACCCTGTTCTTCTCGCTGGTGCGTTCTCAGAGCACCTGTCATTCGACAGCGACTCGCGAGCCGTCGTTATGGTTCCCTTACGTGACGAAACGACCAGGAACCTCCTAAAGACCTTCAGAGCCTCTATGGAAGCAGGCCCGGACGTATTGCAATGCATAGAGGAGGGCACGCTCGACGGCCAGGATGATTGGGGCGAGGGCGACGACAGCTCTTTGATTAGTTGTTGGTGGGGTGTGTTTGCTCGCACCCAGGCAAACGCATAAGGACGACTGAAAACAAGTCAACAATCTACCTGAAATGGTTGAGTTTGCTGGTGGAGAGCATTCCTATATCCCACCGCCCCATGGCGGAATATTTACACCACAGCACGAGGGCTCTCAATGACGTACGCCTCTCTTCGTAACCCAACACTGAGCACCTGCCAGCACTGAAAGGTATCTTTCTGCTTTAACCTGGCAACCGCGGTCTGGAGAAACAAAGAGAATGGAGCCACATAGTCAGACCTGCCCTGAGCCGACCACCACCCCGTCCTATCTACCCCTTTTAGTCACGACCAACCTGACCACGCCCTGTGCGACCTTCTCACAGTGCAGAATACCATATCAAGCCCAGCCCATCGGTGATTCACAATACTGGACTCTCGGGTATAAAGTCGAGCAGGTCATGGATCAGATACGACTTCACAATCCTGCAATCGTACATACCATGCGCATGACTGAAACTCTACATCAAGTCTGTGCGTCCCAAACAATTACGGCTTCTTCAATAATAAATCCCCAAGAGATTCAAACGAAAACTGACCAGCATGGCTGGCAAGCCAAGCTATACAAGGAAACAAATTGAATTTGTTCTCATTCATATTCTCGACAAAGTAGCCCTGCATAGGATCATCGAGGCCTTTAAGGAGACATTTAGCCAGGATGTGACTATTGGGCAGATTAAATATTTAAAGAGCAAGTACGGCAAAGATCCAGACTATGGGTAAGAAGCCGATACTTCTATCATCAAAGATCAAATACTCACACGGAATATAGGTCGCCTCTTCTTGAAGGACGTGTGAGGATAGTGGAAGAAATGGCTACCTTGTAAGTTTGTCGCCTTGCATTATCCTTAATAACCAGCGCTGTCATTCGCATACTCAAGATCAGGGACCACAAGCTGACAATTTTTCAAGGCGCACCCCAGCAGATGCAATTTTTCCTTATCAACCATGCCAACATTCGGGGTTGTCTCAGACGGCAAGCGAAGAGCAGAAGCAGACAGGAAATGTACCATGGAATCCCTGTAATGGTCTTCCAACCCCTCGTGCACCTGCTGAAAACTTCTTCCTCACGAATCACCAAAATACCATCACGGAGCAAACAGGCAGAATGGCGTGTGCTGATGGTTATTACCCTGCTCGGCAGCCATCACACCCTCTTCATGCTAACTCAGCTATGGGACATGGCCCGTATTGGACCAACAACTTGCCACAAGAACCTTCCGAGCCTTACAAAATCCTAAGACAGTTTCCACCAAGGATCAGAGATACAGAAGATACCAACTCTTCTGACTATCATCTTTGGGCGTCGAGAGATGACCAACTGCAGCAAGTTGGGGTCACTTCGCCAGTGTCTCCGCCTTCAAATGCCTCTGATGTACCTGACGGGCTCATGTCAAATGTCGAGCATTGGAACGCCCAACAGAGCCCCTATCAATCGTCGCAACACGGATATGGCGACCAATTTGTACAAGGGCACAGTTGCTTATTATCCGACAACTCGCTGTCGTACGCCTCACGCTCTATGGCCGGACCGGAAATCTCGTGGGATCCCGTCGGAAGACCTCAGCAGGGACAGACTACGACTAACGGTCAGCTCAACAAAACCCAAGACAGCTATCAACCAGTCGCCTCTGAGCAGCCACCTTCGAACAACCCACGACTGGACGGTCTGCAAGATGATCCATGGCCTGGTCTTCCGTCAGGGGCTCAATCTCAATATTCAATGTGGCCCGCACCGCAGGGCTCTGAGAATCTACCACCTCCACCTTACTCTGAAGTTCATCCAGGGCTGGGAAACACAAATACAGCTTCGCACCTCAGTACTACGGGATAGACTCCCGATGGTATAGACGACAGTCTGTTCAATAGTTCCTCCAACTCGAACTTAACACCGCATGAGACCCAGGCCTTACAGGTAATCGATATGCCTCTAACAATGCCCGACGAAACCAGCAATGGCATTGACCAGGGTGACAATACCTTTGAAGAAACCACCGGATACAGGAGCCACGAAGCGTCAACCACGGACACGGATGTCGACCAGCAGCCAAGCTACAACAGCGATGCTCTAGAGCTGGTTCACCCCACTCACGACCACGCAGAGGCACGGGGTGTCGGGGAGGGCTGGAGTTTCTTTGACGAGGCGGTGGCGTTCACCAATTCGCGGACGGGGAGCATGGGTGAGCATGGCAACCTCGACGAGGCCGATACGCTTCTCGCGGCGGCTTTTACAGAATCTGAAATGGCTGGCACATACATGAATTGAGCTGGTGGGCGCCTGTGGTGGGAGGTGGTGGGTGGCGAGTGGAGGAGAGCGCACAGGTTCACGGCTGAGGTATCTCTAACTCTCAAAGCACAAGGTAATGGTCTCAAATACTTTACTCTTCATTCAGGAAACCTCGTAGTAAAAAGACGGTCCCAGGGATGCAAAGTTACGACCCTTTGACTCACCATTGAGCAGCGCCATCTCTTAGTCACTACGATGTCACAAATTCACGTGAGTTGAAAGGGGTGAAGCACCGAATTTCTCAAGCCTGATCATGTTCATGTAATATGTTCGACTCCGACTCATCTACCAAGTCATAAATGGAAGAACGCTCGCTGAGAAAGTTGTCAATGTAAGTTCGTATGGACAGTCCTTGTCCCGCATGAAACGAATGATGGCAATATAGAGGGCCTTCCTCCGAATTTCAACAGGCCGCCAGAGCCTTTCAGAATGGGTATCTAGTGCATAAGGTAGAGAAAATGGAGGTGATTCGCGAAGAAAGGAACATTAGCGTCCTTTGGAAGGTGATAATTCCAGATGGTCTGTGATCTGGAGCGAAGGGGGTGGCTCGTCGAGGGCAGAGTAGCTGAGAGACAGCAAGTAGTACGTTCCCATCAGATCGCGATGCTTACGCTCTTTCTTGTGTCCGCCTCTTCAATAGGGAAACCAAAGACAAGTCGGAACAAATCTTTCAGGAAGATGTACTGTGAGGACCGGTGTGCCATGAGATTGACACTCTTGGCCACATCAGGGGCTGAGGCCCGTTTGCCCCTGGCGGGTAGAATAGCTGCTGGACCTCTGAAAGCAGCATCGCCAAGGACGGAGTTTCGGTAATTTTGGAGCAGTGTTGCTTGTGAGGGAATGTTTCCGAACGATCCGTTGGGCAGTTGCTTCACGAAGGACTGTAGCGCTGCAGTCCCAGTCTTGCCGTCATTGGTGGGGTCGCGAACATAACCGACATTCATGGCTGCTTTCAGCATCAGCGCTTTGATGCGCGTGACGTTTATATCTTCCCCCGCTGTCGCCGTTGTTGCGGTACTCGAAGTCTTGGCACTGGACTGGGAGTATGACGATAGGTTTGATGCACTGCTAGACCACCTGCCGCCGCGGCCTGATTCGGATGTGGTGCCGAGTACAAGGATATTGGGCACTCTGGGTGACTGGCTTTCAGGCGAGATGGGGGTGTCTTCGAATTCTGTAACTGGAGTCTCCGGAACTGGAGGTGGTTTGCGGGGCCGTTCATCAACTAGACTCTTGTGGCTCTTCTGCGTCGAATGCAGGGAGGAACGATTCGAGGTGCGACTCTCACGCCCTGAGGGCTGTTCGTTGACAAAGAAACTTGTCTGGCTCGGACGAGGGGTATTGCGGTCCGGTCGAACTTGAGTCCATCCGTCTCGGAAAATATCGCACAGATCCCAGCAAGCCTGTACAGCCGACCCCAAGAGTTCCTCATCGGGAGCTTTGCCGTCGCGTCTGTTTTGTCTCAGGCTGAATAGCATCTCTGCCAAAGTCCAGCAAGCCTTGAGTAGGGAGTCTGTCTCCTGTGCCAACTCGCTCCGTTGCTTCATCAGCCGATGGCACAAAGTTATGTAAAAGTCCAGAGTCCTCTCTCGGAATTCCTCTGGAAGGTTTCGGCTGTCTTGGGCGCTGTATAAGCTGTTGTCAAGTCAGTAGCCACTTTCGTAACAAGCAGCCCGGTGGAGGTACGTACTGGTTGTTGAGTTCGAAGCTTACGCGAAGAACCGAGTCGGCAATCTCTTCTTTCTTCTGCCGAACATCAAACAGCGACTGGCAGAAATCGCGGCACAGGTCCAGACTCTCGCGCACATTAAAAGACACAATATCTTCGTCCCTGTTGTCGTACAGTCGTTGGCACAGCCTCCAACAAGCCATCCATGCCTTCTCGTGGGCATCGGGAAGGCCTGAGCTGTTAAAGACACGAGCTCTATGAATTGAGCTCAGGTTTGCCAGCGTGTTGCAAAGCGTCCAGCATTCTCTGAGTGCCGTCCGGAGCGCCTTGATCTCCGACTCTTCTCTTGGTAAGCCGGGTGTTGCAAAAGTCTCATCGTCATACGGCTCAGCCTCAGTATCTGTCTCCCTGATCTCATCGATTTCTGTGCGTTGTCAGATGATAGGTCGCTACTACGAAGATGGATACATACTTTCAAGGCTGCTAGTACTGCTTGACCTTAGTCTTGAAGACTCGCTCAACATGTCCTGCAGGTCTTGAGCTCGAGGCGTGGCACTGTCCAAACTGTACCTTACAGCGCTGATATTGGTCGTCAGGGGAGGTGGGTGAGGGAACGAGGGCGACTGCCGAAGGGGGTTAGTATGAGCTGAGTAAAATACAGGAGCTCCTCAAAAACCGACCCTGAGCTGCTCCTGCGCATGTGTTGGCAGAGCGGTGGTATCTGTCTTGGGCGATGATTTGGTGCTGGTGTGCTCTGACTTTGTTGTCGGCTCAGAGGAAGTCTGCCTCCGTTAGTAACTGTGGCGAACACAGAATGGTGTTTGATGTAGCCCACCCATGCCTGAAAGCTCTCAGGAGCCGTGTATCACGGAGACTGCTTCTTCGGTTGTCGGCTGCCCGCCAGGTGATCGGGCAAATTCGTCGCCAGCATTCGAAGCTACTAAGAGTGTTACTAAGGAGCTCAGACAAGGGAAGCGGAAAGAGCCGACCTGTGGAGGAGACGATGCATGAGCCACGACGTGGGCATCGCTCTCTTCCGCTTCTTCATCCTCGATCTCGGTTGTTTCAGTTCCGTTCGAGGTGACAGGCGAGGGGCCGACGATGTCACTGGGGCTCATGAGATTCATATTGCTGACGGGAAGCCTTTGGATGGAGCTCGGTCGCAGGGAGTTGGAATATGGGGCCGAGCGATCTGAGCTTGCCGAAGACCTGTAATCAGGTGTTGTCAGTCTTGTAGGCCATATCATGACATGGCCAGGGCGTTACGAACATGCTGATGAAGGGCGACTGAAGAGCCTCCGAGTCTGGCGACGAAACAGACATGTCTTTGTGATGGTGGGAGAACCCGGAGAGCTGGCTACCGATGGACGATCGCAGTGGCCCTTCGAGTGCCATGACTGAATCAACCGGTGCAATAATGAGACAGCGTGTCGATCGCGAGCGGTTCTTTTGGCTGTGGTCGCTGACAGTTCGCGATGGGAGGATCGCCTCCCTTAAAGACTACAACAGACTTCGACAGCAATGTTTGCTGAGCGCCTTGGCCGATCAAGTGGTTGCGAATGGAGAAGGAGGGCGCGGTAGAAGGTTGATCTCGTTGGCGGAGCCAAGTAAAGCGGTGCCGAGCTGCGCGACAGGTCTCGTCAGGCCGGCCTGGTGGTCTTTTGCGCTGTGCCACGGACGAAAGGCTAGCTCGTGGGAAATGGCGAGGCTTGGAGGAAAGGACGGCAGGCGCTCTTAAGGCAGATGACCCAGATGATGGTGGTGGGTTGAGGAGGGATTGGGGGATGGGGGTAATGGTGGTGGCCAAGGGTCTAGTCTGCGGCCGTCTGTGCCTCCCACCAAGGTGACCGGGGCCAGGTAGCTCGGTACGGAAGTGCGCCTGTCGACAATTTCCAGAACCTCCAACGTCCAGGGGACCCAGGTTCGCCCAGGGGAGCGTGGAATTTATGGAGACGGAGGTTGGGGTCAGCTTGACGGTGCCCGTTTAGTGGATTAGAAAGGCTAGGATAGTGCCTCTACTTTGACTGCTAGATGTGTCGTGATGCTAGCTGTCAGAGCTACTGCTGGTGCTGCTGTCTGTGACTGATGAACAATCAATTCAGCTGCGACCTGGGTAGGCGGCCAGGCACTAGTTGCGAGAAAGTGATGGGTGCAGCTCACAGCGGGATTGCTAGGCTGGCTCAGATGTCCAACTGGAGTCGCTGGCTTGCTTGCCGTTGCTTCATGTCGACGAGCCTGAATCCATGTTGTACTTGGTGTATAACTCGGAACGCGCATCAGAGAAGAGCTGGCGACTCACTCACGACGAGCCAAGTTGGACAGGGATTCTCCGACGGATCAAAGGCAGAGCGCGGTGGACGCAAACGGACAAGCAAGCACCTGCAGCAGATGTGGTGAGTTCTGAGTAGTGTGCTTCAATCAACGCGACTGCCACGGAGACGAGTTCACCAGTAGAATTGGGAAACGACCCAATGACTCTGCCCTACGAGCATGTACCTGGATCAAGGGCACGAGAAACAAGCTATGGCAGCCCAAGGCCATGCGGATGTGGTGTCAGGCAGGTACCGTCCTCATCGCCCGAGGTAGCTCGATGATGCCAGGGTACTTTGTACATGTAGCATGTAAGCCTGGTGTGGAGGAGGGGACGGGAAAGATGGTACAGAGTAGCACCACTTGGGTTTGCAGCTGCGCGTCTTTTTCCTCGAGCAGCTTCAAGACAACCCTCTGGGGAAAGGCGGCCAGTGGGAGCGTGCGCAGACAGCGTGATGTTGCGAGACGGGGCATCCAAGTGGAGTGGTGGGCTGCAGGGAAAGCGACAGGCGTCGGCGCTTAACAGCCTGCACCCACATGGTCTGTCGTCGAGTCACAGGCGTTCCCTGCCTGATATGCCTCCACCGAGGTGCTTCCAAGAGCTCCGCTGGTGGGCAGCTCCTTTGAAGCTAGACCGGAGCCAGCCTAGAACGACAGCGTTGGTGATCGTGAACCTTGTGAGGGTGGGCACCGCGCGATTCTCGATATCCCAGGCAGGGCCACGTTCTGATGCGAGGGCAACAATCGGATTGTTATGCGGTCTAGGTCTCAATGAGGACACGCGTGGCTCCTCACTGGCTTTGCGACCCAAGACGCTTGAGCGCTAACGGGAGGGAGGAAGTTCTGCTCGCTCGGCTATCGCTGCAATTTCATGGCGAAGAAAGGGAGACTTTGCATGCTACACAAGCCCGTCGAATCCGTGCTGGTGAAGAGCTGTCCCACTGCCTGTCCAGGTAAGGCGGGAGTGTTTCGGATGTGATGTGCTGCTATTGAGGTTGGTCGATGGCCAGCCAGAGGGAACGCATACCGGGCACAAGCTCCGGGCAGAAACTGCAGGCATTACATGTATACCCATGTTGGTCATGGAGGACATGAACTGTCCATGGTCTTGGCACCCCAATTGAAACACGTCTTACCGTTCGCCAATCCCATTGTCACTTGGCCTCTCGCTCATCGTAGGCTTCGGTTTCGGCAGTTGAGCTCAGTCCGCCAGTATCGTCTCTGTAAGGCACGTTGGATGGCACCTTCAACAGGTCCTGAGGCTGCGTATTTCTGATGAAGCCGCCACAGTTGTAGCATCCTCCTAGGCAGAACCAGCCTTGTGATCGTTTGATGTCCATAGAGAGAAAGAGGGAGAGAGAGAGAGAGGTGGGAGATGCCAGAAACGGTGGCCAGATCATGTTGGCCCGACGGTGCAGGATGGAGATGGAACCATGGCGGACCACGGAAGAGGGCTGAATGTCAAGTCCAGCAGATGTGTATCGCTCCCAAGGATCTGGTCCGGCGGCTGTCTGTTAGTGTGGGAAGGCAGGCCAGGTGTGCTTGTGGGGCCTTCCAGCGACAGAGGGAAAGCGCCTACATGTGGTGGAAGGTGCATTGCATCCCTGTAGGCCTTCTAGGTTGAGACAGGCAGACGCGGGGTCACTGACGATCAGCTATGTGCTACTAGGTACGCAACTTGCTTTGGGCACACTTTGTGAGAAAGTCCAATAAATCCGGCCACGGTAGAGAGAGCAAAGCAATTGTTTTCAGACGTTGCATCCACTGCAATTGATGGTGGGAAACACAGGTCGAATTGAGTACTCGACACCTTTAGGCGGGATAAGACCTTTGAAGAACAAACAGCATCGTGTCTGGATGCCCTGGCCCTCCACTGTCCCAGCCAGCTGTTTTGGTGATGTGGTAATGCCTCCCCTATCACGGCGCTAGGAGGTCTTACGGCCGGTAAATCAGCCCGTCCCAAATATCGGGTCACGACCACAGCCTAGACCCGGCCCTGTTGCCGTATGATTCTCTCCTCCATGGTCCAGCATTCTGTTGCTCACCGCCGATGATTGACATGACACCTTTTCCCATTCGAGTCCACTATAGGCTTCCTTCTTCCAATGCCTTGACATTCGGTATTTCTCTTCGACCCGTCGACCAATGCACTACCGTTTGAACACGAAGATGCGCCAAGGCCATCGAGACAGACAGCTTGCCTGTCATGCCGACCTCTTCATCACCCTACGCGAACCACATTACCTTGCATAGGCGCCGGCATCCTTGACACAGTGTCGAGAAACACTGCCACAAGCGATTTTCCCTGGTCACAGATCCGGTACAAATTCTCATCGCCTGGCCAAGCGAATCCTTCCGCGGCTACCGGGCCCATTGCGTTCATCCCGTTCCTCCAAATCGTGTGAACATCTCGTCGTCAAAGCTGCGTGTCGCTTCGTGTACTCTAAATCCCCCAAGAGATGCTATGACAAGATAAGAAAGGCCCATGCCCCGTCTCGGCTCAAAACAATGCATCGTGCCCACGAGAGGCAAGCCGGCATGGCGGTGGACCTCTGCTTTGTTGGGCCAATCCCCTCGCCTTGTTGGTGGCTTTGTTTTACGTCTTGTTGGTGTTGGATGTGCCATCTCGGCGCCTGATTGCCCTCGCCGACAACAACGCAGGCATCGACAGCCCGCGGATGTTGCTCTTCTTCCGGCAAGTCAGTTGGCGATGCTTGCGGCAAAAGCTGTGCCTCGTGCAGGTTGGAGGGCCGACATGCCGCAGTAAATGCACTCCCCCCAACGTGGTCGCCAGCTCAATCTTGCAGTGGTGCCTTTAGTCAAAGGGAATTTTTGTGCTGGTCAGGCTCTCGTTAGTCCTCGCTGCTACCTGGTATGACGTGCCAAACTTGGCCCGATACGCATTTGGACACCGAGCTTCAGCTCTCTTCCTGGATGTGGTATGCCCAAATATCGTAGCCGACAGGAAACATGAGTAACCTATGATGTGCCAACGAGGCTCAAAACAGCCCGTAGAACCCTATGCCCCGTCACTACTACCAGCGCGGTGGCCGACAATGGCCAGACGCGGCCCATTATCTCAACGGCGGAACCCCATCTGACCGCCATATCAAGACTCGACTTGGCGTCATATCGTAGACGAAAGAGGTGTACCGGGGTCGAAAGTAAACCCTGCTGGGCTACTGCAAGTCCCCTTGCCGAAGAAGGTATGCTCCGCAGAGCTGGCCGTCTGGTGTTGGCCCAAGCACAGCCGCCGGCAATAAACCTCAAGCGCAGCGGCGCTTGGGGCATACAAGTTGGACAGTGAAGCAACATTAAACCAGAAAAACAGGCAGGGGTTTCATGCTCGAAGGATCGATGTGGCTTTGCGATGCTATGTTGCTGTCATTCACATGACGAGCAGGGCACCGAGTGAACGGTAACACTTGGCCTTCGCCAACAAGGAATGCCCCGTTGACGCCCCTTTTATTTTAGACAGGTCTGTTGGGACAAGAGCCGTGGAATGGAAACCAGGCCCGAAAATGAGCTCATTTGTATTCTGTACTCTGAGGCAGACTTCCAGGGCTGTGCTTGACGGATGATACCTATACTGGTATCATCGGCAACTTACTGACCATGACATGGCTGGTGCCAGAGTGATGCACTGGTGACATTGCCAACGCCACCTGCGGTTTGCTAGCCCCGGCTTTCTACTGATCTCACTACCTCTGGCACGGCACATTACTCGATCTCCTCTGGTTTGGCCCAGTGGAGCAGGATGCCTGACTGCATTACTTCCGTTGTGAAAATGCAAACGGGGTGTTTGTACAGGCAGTAGTGACAGCGCTGAGAATCCAAATTCGCGCGTCGAGGCTTACGAGCTGAACCAGACGCCGACTTCAGTCAACGGAGCAAAAGATCTGGCGTTCGTACAAGCTTATCAGACATGCTTGCCGTGTCCTAGCCTTGGCGCATAGTCTCAGTGCCTGCTCTGCTCCGTGACTCGAAAACCTCCTTCCAGTGTACCCTTAAACGCCTTGCAATGCTTTGTTCGTGTTTGTGAAGACCCTAGGTCATTCGAATGGCCGTCTGGATGCGCCTACTTATGCGGGCAGGTTGTTCTTCTTCTCGTTACGACCATCGGGAGTGTATCTGACAAAGTTAGCAGAGCGACTCTTAAGCTCTGGCATGGCCACCGCACATACTTCAGCAGCTTCTCGATCAGATCGACGTGGGTCATGATCATGCGACGGCAGCAGTATCGCTTGAGGCCGAGCTCGTCCATAGCGTCTCTGTCGCATCCGTTAGTAACGATACATCCGTGGGATAATGACCCTCATCGTACCCATCAGCGATACCGTCGTCAATAAGCTTCAAGTAGCGCTCCCACAAGTCGCCAGTCACCTGTGATATCGTCAATGGTGTGCCTTGCGACAAAGGCACAGGGGCTAACCAACCTTGCCGCAAGAGAAGCAGCGAACCGGGATAATCATTTTGGCAGCGTCGTTCGGGCGCTATCGATACTATGGAGATCGAGGCTTCCACCGTGTATAAGAGTCACCGAGAGTCGGCTTTCTCGTAGCTGCGATGGTCGGCGGAGATGATCGTCGTCGCTGATTGAAGACTGTCGTCGCGAGAAAGGCGTGAGAGCCGTGGTATGGAGAAATTTCCTGGTGTAACGGGCTTTCACCGGGTAATTCTTATCTTATCGAATATCGAAGGTGGGGTGAGCTAACCAATCATGTGGTGCGTCTCTCTTGCGGGCCCCGAATTTTCAAGCGGGACTCGGCCTGGCAGCAACTTTTTTTTCTGAAGGCCTGCATCTGGAACTGCTTGTGAGCACTTCTGTGGTGATAAACGGTTGCCTCTGTATCACACATTGCCCTGAACGACAGAACCAGCGCAAAAGGACAACGCGATGGTCGGAAAAACAGATCAGAAGCCGCGCGCGGCAGACGTGGACCCGAATAAAAAGAGGAAGCGTGACGCCAGCGACAAGCAACGAAACTCTGACATCAAGCGCAACCGCAAGGACGAGAAGCAGTCCACGCCCAAATCTGACAAACGAACCTCGGATGCCAACAAGCTCAAGGGCAACGCCCTCAAGGTTCTTTCCGAGCTGCAGAACGGCGACACTGCGAATATCACCACAAAAACTAAAGATCAGAGCGAACTGCAGTCTGCGGGCGAGTCCAATGGCTGGAAGATCTCGTCGCCATTGGGTGGCAGAATCGCTGATATTGACCCCGTGTTCAGCAGTGATGCGAAGTATGTTACATCCAAACTGCTACAACACTCGTCTAACATGAAATAGGCACCTCATTCTCACATACCACACTTCCCTACAAGTCTACTCTGTAGCAGACTCTCTCCTCGTACGACGAATCCCCCTACCGATAGCGAAAGACAACAAAGATAGCCCTACTGCCTCAGTTCTCACCACTCATCTCTCGCCTGTGGAACCAGATTTTGTCTGGGTTGGATGCTCTGATGGAAGGATATGGAAGTTCAACTGGAGACAGGGTATCAAGCCCGAAGATACCCTGATGACAAAGTCTCAAACGGCACTGGACTTCTGCATTACCGCGATCAAGGTTAACGAGGATCTTCACGACGTTGTCTTTGTGTCGGAGAAAAAGCAGAATGATGAGGGCACCATTGTTGCATACTGCCGCATGGGCGCTTCCCACCTCGCGTCCCAGATTCTCTTCAAGACCGTCCGACCAGACCAAGCGATACATGTGCTGCGCGCCACGGCTGATGGAAGATATGTGGTCGGTGCCCACTCCGAGGGTCTAGTGGTCGGCACGATCGCTGGGCAGGACTTGGAACTAGAAGGCGACTTCTTCAACTTTGACACAAGCGACATCGTCTGCACTTTGGATCTAAGGGTCACTAGCCGTCAGCAAGGCCTCTCGACACCCAAAAAGCAAACTGTCAAACCCAGCTCAGAGGTCCTTGATGTCATCATCGGATGTGGCCGAGGCGCTATGTTCTTGTACAACGACATCTTAACGAAGCTGCAGAGCATGCGCGGCCCCAAGCCCAAGCAAAAAGAGGTTCAGGCTAGGAAGTTTCACTGGCACAGGCGGGCTGTTCGCAGCGTCAAGTGGTCAAGAGATGGTGAGCGCTCCATTAGGTTCCTTTGAGGGCCCGTCACTAATTTCCTCTCAGGTCACTATCTAGTCTCCGGTGGCTCCGAAAACACACTCGTCCTATGGCAAGTCGATACTGCCATCACCACATATCTTCCCCATCTTCCCGGCGCTATTGAGAACATCGTCGTGTCACCGAGCGGTGCACAGTACGCAATCCACCTTGACGATAACTCGGCAATGGTCATCTCGACCTCTGAAATGAAGCCGGTCACGTACGTGTCAGGAATCCAATCGGCAGCCCGGTACTTCGCACAGCCTAAGGATACCTTGGTGAAGAGGGTGGGAGAGGTCTCGAAAGAAGTCCGCCACCCTATTCCGGCAGCTCTCAGCCCTCTGGACGCAACGAAGCTGCATGTTTGTGTGGGCACTGGTCAGCAGGCGATGATGTCTGGGTCACAACAGTCAGCGCCCATTCTTCAGTCTTTCGACCTTGATTCCTTTACCAGTGTTTCCAAGCAAGCATTAGCAAGGACACAGCCCACGGATGTAAACATCACGGCGCAGGGAAACCCCATTTCCGAACCGGCTATCACACACATTGCCTTTTCTTCGGATGCGCGATGGCTGGCAACAGTGGACGACTGGTCGCCGCCTACGGGAGACATCGACAACATGTCGCCTGACGCGAAGGAGCACCTTTTGCAAGAGCGTCGTGAAATCTACCTTAAGTTCTGGTCGGTCTCCGCCGAGGACGAATCCCTCGCTCTCACTTCGCGCATCAATTCGCCTCATTCCACCAGCAGACCCGAGACGGTCCTTGCGCTGGCTGCGGATCCTGCGGCGCCAAGATTTGCGACCCTGGGAGATGACGGCCTGGTCCGTATCTGGCATTTCAAGACGAGGCAGACTGATGGCCTGACTTCGAAGGATACCAAGGGTCAATCTCTACAGTCTTGGTCTTGCGGCCTTACGGTAGGCATGGGCAGCCATGTCGGGGCAGACGTGATCCCTGCTTCCGAGGGCCACAAGGCAGCCAAACGAAGCGGCAGCATGAGCTTTTCAGAAGATGGCTCGTCGCTGTTTGTTGCCTTTGGAAGCCAGGATGATGGGACTGTATACATCGTTGACACGCACACTGGCGAGACACGTACGATGCTGGAGAACATGTGGAAGGGCGAAGTTCGTTCACTGCAGGTTCTCTCCCCGTACATTGTCACCCTGTCCAACGACCTTCGGGTCTATGATGTGGTGGCCGACGAACTGCAGTACGGCGTAAAGCTGCCCAAGAGGGATGCTTCCTCGGTGCCTGCAGCTTTTGCTCACCTACAAGTCGACAAGAAGTCCCGAACTTTCGCCATGGTCGTTCCATATACACACTCTTCGCAGATTGCGGTCTTCAAGCCGGAGGACCCTCAGCCTCTCTGCATCGAGACGGTCCCTCACCGCATCACGAGCTTGGTGTCATCTGCAAGCTCCTCGGGCTTTGTAGCTCTAGACGATGCTGCTCAGCTCTGGAGCGTCACTGAGGTTTCGGACCAGTCTGCGATCTCCCTCTCCAAGCCTCTGGAAGATCTGCGCCTCGACACGACGATTGCTGATGATGCGATTAACGGCGACGCCGATGAGGATGATCAGGCCAGCGAGATTGATTTCGCTACGGGCGGAGACAACATGGAGCTGGATGATGACGAGACGCACACCGCGATCGTGAGCAGGCAGAAGCTCGCCGAGTTGTTTGACGCTGCGCCAGCCTTCGCCATGCCGTCAATCGAGGACATGTTTTACAAGGTCACCGGGCTACTCACCACAAAGCCGCTGGCAAGCACTGCGGCTTAGAATTGTATGCAAGGCGTTCTTGAATCTATGCTAGGCATTTTGATGCGCGTGTCGTTTTTTTGCATGACCAGGGAAGAACAAGAAGAACAACGGCGGGAGATGAGGGCCGTTCCCTGCCGACGGAGGTCGGATCGGCTAGCCAAGACATGCGGGGTTGACTGCCAAAAGGCGCTGGCGAAGGGCGCCGTAGACCGATAGCCGGCCGGAATAATTACGCCATCCGTCCTCTTGATGAGATGACTGGACAGTGAAGGGCATATACCATATTCTTAGGTTCAATCCTCAACATCATTCGATTCTGTGCATACCTACCATATCATTTATCAGTCCACCAAAACACCCCCTTGACAAAACATCTCAGCACGCACGCACGTCTATTATCTGCAGAGGGGGGTTGTGACACCTGCGTCAAGTCAGCTCGCCACCAACTTTCACCATGTCCTTCACATCTATTCCGATTCTCGACCTCGCGCTCGCCCGTGATCCCAAAACGAAACCCAAGTTTCTTGAGGATCTCCGCCATGCACTCCTGGAGGTCGGCTTCCTGTATCTCAAGAATGTCGGCATTTCGGATGAGTTCTTCAACAAAGTCATTGCGGAAGGGAAGGGCTTCTTTGAGATTCCTCAGGAAGAGAAGTGAGTCGCAGCTCGGTCCCAAGGCTGCTCCCCACCTCACTATCATGACTGACGCGGATTCAGACTAAAGATCGAGATGAAGAACGCAAAATCGTTCCTCGGGTACTCCCAGCTCTCAGCAGAGATCACAGCCGGTGCCATCGACCACAGAGAGCAGATTGATCTCTCAACAGAGCATCCCGTGCCGGGTCCCCTGGACCCCCTCTACTACAATCTGCACGCCCCCAACCAGTGGCCGTCGCCTTCGGTGCTGCCGAATTTCCGCCAGACGTTCACAGACTACATGGACCGCATGGGCGCCATCTCCGTGACGTTCACGTCCCTCATCGCCGAGGCAATCCAGCTCCCAGCGGACGCGTTCAACAAGTACTTTGACGCGCACCAGCAGCACAAGCTCAAGGTGGTCAAGTATCCGGACCTGCAGGAGCTCGGCCTCGGCGACGCCCAGGGCCAGGGCGTCGGCCCGCACAAGGACAGCATGCTGACGAGCTACCTCCTGCAGGCGAGCGCGCACCGCGGCCTGCAGGTGCAGAACGTGCGTGGCGAGTGGATCGACTGCCCGCCCATCGACGGCACGCTCGTCGTGGCCATCGGGCAGGGGCTCGAGGCGCTGACGCAGGGCGTCTGCGTGTCGACGACCCACCGGGTGCTGTCGCCCGAGGCGGGCCAGGGCGCGCGGTTCTCCATCCCGTTCTTCCAGGGCGTGCGCGGGGATGCCGAGTTTGAGGACCTCGAGACCGTCGGCGTCGGGCGCGTGCCGGACGAGGTGCGGAGGCAGCGCCAGCTGGTCATCGAGAGAAATGGCGGGGAGCGGCTGGATGACGTCGAGTTTACATTTCGCAGGGGCGGCGTCTCCAAGACGCTGGGGGAGGCAACGCTGAGGAACAGGGTCAAGAGCCATCCTGACGTCGGGGAGAGGTGGTATCCTGATATCCTGGCTCACATTCGTGAACAAGAGGCACAGCTCAAGAAGGCTGAAAAGGGGCTGAGTGTAACGCTGCCCGCTGCTGGAGCTCCGCCTGTCACGGCACACTGATTGATGCTATCATGACCTTAAGAACCAAGACTGCAGTCATGTCTGAAATCCCGTGTAGGTAGTCTTCTCTTTTTGGTTGCTTCGTCTGCCTCGTTTAAATCAAAGGTTCCCATGCGCCATCGCTGTATGCCACCGCCCACCGCCCGCACACCACGTGAATCTTCAACCACCGGTACGCCGCTTTCACCCCTGTCGAACGTCTCTCTCGCCCCAGTGTGGCCGATTATGCCTCGACGCCAAAGGTCGGGAAGCAGTCGGGGAGGGTCTTCTTGTGCTTGTTGTCGGCATGCTCGGTGAGACTGCGTCATGTCAGTCAGGGGCCATTGTCATACTTTCGGAGGCGATTGTACTCACGCGGGCGCCTTGGTGGTCTTCAAGAAGGTAGCCTTGCAGATCTGGCACTGAATATCCTTGGCGGCAGCGTTCTGAAGCATCGCAATCAGCATAAGGTTTTCCCGGCGACGTCACGGCGCAACATACCACTTTCAGCTGCGACTTGGCAGGCTTGCCGGCCTTCTCGGCGTTGCGTTCACGCTTCTGCTGAGCCCTATTGCCCTGCAGCACGCATATCGGTCAGCCCCTCAATCGACGTCCTGCCCCGCCAAACAGCGAAATTGGTGGAGGGGTTTCAGGCAGGACTTACGTTGCCCATGTTTGCGGTTGAACAATAGTGTCGAAGGAGCTGTTGATTGGATAAGTTGCGAGGATTTCGGGTGAGGTAGCAAGTCAGTCGAAGATAATTCGCGGCAAGTAAGGCGGGAAGCAGAAGTTGCGGTGTTCTGGTCTGACGACGGCGGACTTTTTTTCTCTTCGGGAAGTAAAGGACGAGGGGGGAATCGCCTGCAGCCTACTTTTGCGCTGGCCAATGCGGGTCGAGGCGGGATCGACGGGGCCCAGGGTCTAGAAGCGTGCGCAGGGATCCACTCTGACTTGCACTTACTCGCTGCCTCGCTCGTTCACTGTTACCGGGGCGGATGTTGACTATCGGGGAAGCCAAATCCCATTACCCGTTCCTGATGAACTCATCTCGACTTCGTTTTCCACGCGCTGCTGTACAAGACAAACTGTGAACTTTGGCTCGAGTCATCGCGAGTGTTTTGAAGCCCCGGTACACATCTTTGGTGCCTGCCCTTCTCGTCGTCAAGGACTGCACTCCGAAGGCCACTGTGGCAGCTATCTGAGCTAGGGAGACGCCGCCGCCGCATGCTGTCTGCGTGATCTACATCCCCGCGGTCCCAAAACCTCCAAAACGATGCTGGCCAACGCGATAGGAAGAGCAGAGTTTGATGAGCTGCTTGCTAGTTACGAGAGCGTACTGGAGTCCATCTCAGCAGCAAAGGGTAAGTGCTTCAATCGCGTCTCTCACAGCATAACTCACAGCATAATTCAAACTTGGATCGCTGAGACAGGCCGTGACAGAAAAACCAGGCCAGAAGACTTTAAAGGAACTCGATGAGTTTCGGTATGTCGAGGCCCCTCGGCTATTCTCACAACATGGTACGCCCGAGAGACCGATGAACCACGACGATGTCAAGGTTCTGGTCGACTGGAAGCTGTAAGCGCTGTGTCTTTGTGCGGCTCGTTTTATATTCCGGAAACGGTCTGACGTATTGACAGACGGCACGGCAAGTTTCGGCCAACTCTCATGAAATTGGTCACATCGAACGACTCGTCAGCCGTTTCACAGGCTATTCAAGACGGAATCTCGACTTTTGAAAAGACGTCGGATGTGGCCAAGGCGCTCGCAACTCTTGCAAAGCTCAAGGGCATCGGACCTGCTACCGCTTCGCTTCTTCTTGCCGTTCACCGGCCTGACGATGTTCCCTTCTTCTCCGACGAGGCTTATTACTGGCTATGCAATGGCGGGAAAAAGGAGTCATTAAAGTACAACATGAAGGAGTACGATGAACTCATCCTTGAAGCCAGAGCGCTGATGAAGAGGCTGGAAGTATCCGCAATGGACGTTGAGAAAGTGTCGTACGTTGTCATGAGGCGAGGAGATGCTGGCGTCAAGCCCTTGACAGCCAACACAAGGGACTCGAAAGCCTCGAAGGAGGAGGCTGGAAATTCGGTATCTGAAAAGGACAAGTCGAAGCCGTCCACCGCGACCAAGAGGAAGTCGGCAGTCCAAAACGAAGCGGCGAATCAAACTTCTCTCAGGCGATCGAAACGCGGCAAGCCATCCTCCTGAATTCTGGCTCTGCCAGAGGTCAGCTGGCACAACGCCCCCCTCCTGCTAACCGTGCTACGGCAGGTGCTGAACCAAGCACAGCTCCGCAAATCGCAGGATTGGAATTACGCAATGGATATATCACAATGACAGAGCACTTGGAGTACGATGCGCTTGACTCTCTGTCGTCAAAAAGACTACAAAAAAACGGCAATCGTCATGCAGTGAAGCGGCAGCGCGGGCCGGGTGCAGGCGTCCAACATACTGGTCGCTACAAGAGTCTAGGCCCCCAAAGGGCCCCTGTCAGGGAGCTGGACTCTGGTGCAGTCCAGGCAGCTCAGCTCGCTGCGACCGATTTTCCGGTGGGGACTTGGTCACCTTCTGGGCTTGGGAACACACCGCGCGAACGCGGGGGAATGGCAGAATGTGGGGTCATTGCCACGCCTGGGGTCCTCCCAGCTGCTGCTCATCAGCGCGTGTAATACTTACTGACTCTTCAACCGTTCGGTTCGATCGCCTCATTCAACACACCTTCACGCGACCAGAGGCAGGGTCGTACTTGTATCCTGCTGAAGGCGCGCCGAACCGTCATGATGGATCAAGACCAATCCGAACACGACGGCCACGACCAGTCCAGTCAGCAGCAACATGATTTCTCATCGTATGCCAATGTCCCTTTCACAGATGATTTGTTCAACGTGCCCATGCCGTCTTATGGCTCCCCGGGCATGGCGTGGCCGGACTCCTTACCATACGACATGGACCAGTTTAACCAGTTCCAACAAAACTGGCCGGACATGGACTATGGCATGTCGTCGCCGCCACCTCCGCCGGTGCCGCAAATGCCTCGAGCACCAGAAGCACCGCCACAGCTGCCTCGGCGCTTTGCACAAATCAAACAAGGACTTGTCGCTGGAAAGGAGAATGCCATCGCCAAGTCCTGGGACCGGCTGCTTGTCTCCCTCCGAGCGGAGATTGCTCTCATCGAAGTTACAAAATCTGACGTTATTCCCACCATCGACTTTGCGGACCTCGAGGACCGTGATAAAGTCACAGAGTTTTCGGCCAAGTTGAAGAAGAGAGGCGCTGCAGTCATTCGCAAGGTTGTTCCATCGGAGGATGTCATGGAGTGGAAGGAGGAGACCGACGGCTACCTGGCCAGCAACCCCGGCACCAAGGCCTGGCCAACTCGAGACCCTCACCTCATGGGCATATATTGGACGCCCGCTCAAATCAAAGGACGCGGACATCCCAACGTCCTGGCGGCACAGAAGTTCCTCATGAGCCTCTGGCACTCAACCGATGCGGAAGCACAGGTCAGCAATAATTTCCCGGTATCATATGCAGATCGTCTGCGCATCAACACGCCTGGCGAGTCCAACTGGCATCTCAACGCCCACGTCGACGGCGGCAGCGTCGAACGCTGGGAGCCCGACGGCTACGGCCGCGCCGGCACTTACCGCGCCATCTGGGATGGTCGCTGGGAAGACTACGATCCCTGGGAGAGCAGTTCGCGTCTCAAGGTCACATCCGACCTCTACAACGGCGCCGGCTCATGCAGCATGTTCCGCATGTTCCAGGGGTGGCTGTCCATGGCCTCCATCGACCCATCAGAGGGCACCCTGCTGCTCTGTCCCATGCTCCAGCTTGCGACCGCCTACTTTCTCCTCCGCCCCTTCTTCTCGCCCCGCGTCCCCGCCTCCGCGTCGCCTTCGACCGCCGCCTTCCTAGCATCCGATAACTGGGCTCTCGACTTCTCACAGACCTCCATCCTCCAGGGTGCCGTCCCTTCCTACACCCAGGAGCTCAACAATGTCCTCCACCCCCACCTCCACCTCGACAAGTCCCTCGTTCGCGTCCCGCGCGTCGAGCCCGGCGACTACATCGCCTGGCATCCCGACATGGTCTACGGCGGCGACAAGGTCTCCCCGGTGACGGCCCCGGCCACCATCATGTACATCCCCGCCTGTCCCCTGACGCAGACGAACGCCCTGTACCTCGCGCGGCAGCGCAAGACGTTCCTCCTGGGCCGCCCGAGTCCGGACTTTGGCGGCGGCATCGGCGAGGCCACGCATGTCGGCCGGCCCGGCACGCAGGAGGTCAACGACGCCGGCGGCGACGAGGCCCTGCGCGCCATGGGACTGCTTCCCTGGGAGGAAGATGATGCGTCGGGCCAGCACGAGGTGCAGCTGCTGCGCATGGCGAACGGGATCCTGTTCCCGGACCGCTACGACATGATGGTTTGACGTGTCGAGACTTGGAGTGTGGGCACAACTGAGATATGACTGATTGATCGCTAGCTGGGCGTTGGGGCTCTTCACTCGTTTGGACGATACCTTTTGCGTAGGGATTCTTTTGTTTCTTTCCACATTTAACGTTATCTTTTGCGCGGGACCGGGTGAATAGGTATCACGGCGGGACGGGCACCGAAAAAGCATAGTAGTGAGATCGGTCGAGCGCTTATGGAACATCGAGTACATGGGACAAGATCGAACGAGACTAGTAAACAGTGGTCATAATAATTCAAAAGCGAGTCTCCCTCCAGAGGCTCGCTCGCTGCTTTCGCCACCGGCTAGCCCGCAGAGCACCGGAGAACAGCTATAACCCCCAAGGTCCGACGCCTACGCTTTCGTTTCCCGAGTCCGTTGTGTGTGCGTGCGCTTTCAAGTCCCGTTTTCTTTTTCTCTTTCCCGATCGGTAGTACCCGTACATTGAGTTTTTTTTTTCGTCCCCTTAGTCAAACTTCTTGTCGACGGGCTCGCCAGTGGCGGCAGCGTACTTGTCGCTGAGCTCGTCGTACGCCTTGTGCAGCTGGGTAGACTGCTTCTTGAGGTTCTCGAGGTCCTGGGTCTTGACGTCGAGCTCCTTGCGCAGCTTGGCAATCTCGCCGGGCTTGCCGCTGACGGCGAGCTTCTCCGACTCCTTCGTGTTGGAGTTGGTGCCCTCGTAGCTCTTGACGCGGTCCTCGAGACGCATGACTTCCAGGATCATAACATAGGTGCGGTTGAGGATGAGGGACAGGAAGAGGGTGAAGCCGCAGAGGTACATGTTGCGCTGCGAGTAGAACTTGCGGGCCTGGACCTCGAGGCGCTCGTGGCCCATGACGGCGGCGCTGTGGGGCGGGACGGTCAGTGGATCGGTGCAGGTGCAAACATGGGGCTTGGGCTTATGGAAGCACGGAGAGAGAGTAAGCTACGTACCCGTTGTTCTGCTTCTCGGTGGCCATGGCCAGTTCGACCTGGACCCTGTAGACGCGGTTGACGCTGTCGATGAACAGGATGAGGATGAAGACGAATGTAATCTTCATCCAGTATTGTATTTTTGCTACAATGGGACTCTCAGAGATGAAGCTGCGCAGGACAAAATCAGCTCGTGTGCTCAAGCAGACAGCTGGATAGCTCGAGGACCGGACATGGGCCGCCCAGGACGAAGGACTGGCAGAAACCTACGTGAAGAGCTTCCTCTTGATGGTGAAAGGAAGAGGGATGATGAGGAGCATGAACAAGGTCATCTCCAGCATCAACAGCACGAATACCTATGAAGTTCGCGGTCAGCCGCGTGTTCTTGACATGGGCTCAGAGTTTTGCCATGCGACATGTGACAAGCTTCGAGGCAACGTACGAGAGTGTAGTAGAGCGTCATCTTGGCTGTTGGTTGTGATTGTGTTTACTGTGTAGTTGGTATGGGCTGCGTCCTGATAGACTGATGTGTTGTCTAAGATCTGAATTGCGGTAGGTGGCTGCAGGAGAGAAGAAGGGACGAGATGGGCAGGGCGGGCTTTTGTAGGAGACGTGACGATGATGTGGTTTCAATCCCGGCAGAGGTGGCAGGAGCTGAAGACGGACAAGGGTGGGGTGAACAGACGTAAGTCAACAACGTCATTGTGGCTGGTGCGAGCTTGCTTGGTGTGGCTAACGCCCGGATTGGGGTCGTGCTGAGGTCTGCATCAGAAGGACGCTCTGTCCAGGTGGGATTGAGCATAACATCCCAGTCGACCGTGCTGCACACGCTGCACATGTCTGAGAATTGTGTACATGTACATGTAGTGCAGGGACCCTGACGACAGAGTGAGAGCACCCCTAGTGCGGGGGACAACCGCCGCTTGGTGGAATACGAGAGCGCGAGGCAATGCACTACATTTTCCCATGTCCGATTCGAAGCTTCGTAACCGAAGAAGACACTGAATCAAGTCGAAGGGTTTCACATCCAGGCGGTTCTCGAGAAATCATACTACATTGGTATTCTTCAAAGGACCATGCCCCCAATCCCGCAACGCCCAGCTTTTCGGTCCAAGTGGACCAGCAGTAAGGAATCCAAGCCCAGCATACACGGAGTCTGATGAAATACACATGAAAAGGCCACTACGTGCCGAGTTTCCGTCTCCGTACACATTCATGACACACACAGCCCTCCTAAGAGTAGAATTGGCTCTTCTGGAAGCTCTCCGCGCTGACATCGCCGACCTTGCTCTTCACTGGCTCAGGCACGCTCTCCACGGTGCTGGTCATGGTGCTCGTCCTACTGGTCTCGCTCGCCGCTGCTTTGATAGCTGCAACCGGCTGCCCGGGCCTCTTGATGACCTCGAGGTACGTAGCCGGGAGGTAGCCGGTGCGGCCATCACGAGCCCGGCAGCGCCACCACTCGCTGGGGTTGCCAATGGGGTCACTCTTGCTGAGCACAGCGACGAGCTCGCCCCGGCGCACCTCCATATCAACTCCCTGTCCGGCATTGCCGGGCTGGGGAGTGAAGTCGTAAAGGGCTCGGCAGTAGTCAAGCTTGGACGGGTCAAGCTGTTGCTGTACAGCTTGCTCGCCCGCTGCAGCGAGACGCTTACGCTCCTCCTCCTCGGCCGTGGCAGCGAGGGAGTTGATCATCTTCCTCATGAGATAAGGCAGGCCGAAGGCAGCGAGGACGAAGAAGAAGAGGGGCTTCCGACTGGCCTTCGGGGGTCCCAGAGGCGTGCCGTCCGGTCCAATCGGCTGGCGGCCCTCAAAGCGTGCGAAGGCGGCAGGCGTCAAGGACGTTGCGTCGGCCGGGGGTGGTCGGCCGGTAAGCTTTGCTAGAAGTGTGCGGATCCAACGCATGAGGGTGAAGATGCCGAGAATGGAGCCGAGAGTATCCTTAAGATTACCGAACTGCTCAGCGACCGACACCATAGCTGCAGGCGGATTAGCAATCGATCATGAGACCCCTCGAAAGAGCAGAAGCGACATACCGAAGAAGCTCGAGTGAGTCGCCATGTAAGTGCTTTCCAGCATTTGCGCAAAGCCTCCAAAGGCCTGCACGATACCTTGCAGCATCTGGAAAGTTGCCTGAGTGCTGTTGTTGAACTGGTTCGTCAGGCTGTTGGGGTCATTCGGATTTTGGCCCATGCCAGGCATGCCGCCGTACATGCCACCTCCATACATGGAGCCGCCGTAGCCACCGTATCCTCCGTACATGCTGCTGCCGTACATCCCTCCCATGGTTCCCGCATAGCCGCCGTAGCCACCCATTCTCGAGTACGAGTTGTAGCCGGCGGCGCCGCCGTATGTACCGTAAGGATTCGCCATGCCAGAACTGTATGCCGCAGCGTTCTGGTTGACCGATGCTGCGAGAGAGGCCGGTCGCTGGGGGACAGCAGGCGCGTCTGCTGATGCTGTGGCGACCGCTGAGGAGCCTTGCGCCGGCGGGGTCGAGATGGAAGCGGCGGTCGTGGTGGGAAGTGTTGTCGGTCGCGCTGCTGTGATTGCGACGGTTAGCACACACCAGGCTTCAAGAAGATGACATTCACGGGCGGACATACCCGATGCAACGGTTGCGGCAGCGCCAGGTCGTTCCCAAGGCTTGGGTGGAGATGCCATAGTACGCTGAAGATGCTGGGGAATAAAAGTCGACTGGCGTCAGAAAGGCCTGCCCGCCTCGAAGACGAGTGACGAAGCCGAGGTGGCAAACGCTGGGGGTATGCCGAACTGCCGGCCACCGGCCAAAGGCGTAACGCGACGGGAAACCGGTTGCCTAACGGTTCAGTGTCTGCCGCTATATGTACAAGGACAGTCGCGCAATGTCGTCCGGTCGGCCGTCGAGGGTTGATACGTAGTGATGGATGGTGAGGGGATGTTGGAAGAAATGAAACATGCGTGAGGAAGCCAGCCGACGGCGAGCGACTCGAGTCGTGGGCGGCCGATTCGGGGGTGGAGCACTGGGGAAAACAGGCTCCTCTAGTCTCTGTTGGCTCATTCGAGCCAGTCTTGGCCTCTCAAGCCTCTGCATGGGCGCGCATCTGATCACGCCGGGGTGGCACTTGCCTCGGCAAGACCGGTCACCCCGTACTTTCTCCGCCTCCCGTGCCGCCTGCCCTCGGCTCGCTGACTCATCCTCCTCTACACTTGCAATGTGCAGCCGTCTGTGTACATGGTACTCCAACCACAGTCTTCCCCGCGCTGAGACTCGGAGGGCATTCATGTCCTTGATGGCTACCACAACTCACTTGGGCGAAGCCTGTGCGCTGGCGGGCTCTTTTTCAGTTGCAAAAGGAGCCGACGTGGGTGGTTCAGTCGTATCAAAGACAAGGCATGTGACTCGGTTACAGAGGGTCCAAGAGAAGTGTGCAACGTGCACGCTCCCATTACATGCTGAGGAAGTCAATCTCAGAGACCTCGCGAGAAGGCGCAATGGCTTCGCAAAAGCCCACGAGTCTGGCACCCTAAGATGGGGTTGTAGAAAGCCAATGCTCAGACACAGCCATGCAGTAGATGTGCCAGCACCAGACAGAGAAAACTGGACGGCACGTCATTCTCGAATCAGACTTTCATTTACCACGAGCTGCCATCTTCTCTCCTCCAAGCATCCAACAAAGTCCAGTCTTTTCACCAGACATGGCGCGAACCTGTAAGTATGTACGAATGTCAAATATAGAATTGCAAACACCCTGCCCTCTACAATTGTCGCAGCCCTAGCTAGCAAGCGAGAACAGGCTGAAAAGACCATTGTCCTTCCCAGTTTGGATCCAGCTCTGGACCAGGTCCTCGCTGAGGCTGGTAGCAAAGTCAACGTCGTCATTCAGGATCTTGACGGAGACTTGGCCGCTGGCGGCGTCAAAGACAGTAGCGACGTTGATGAAGCCGTCCGTGGGACGCTTGAAGTAGTCGGACGATCCACCGTTGACGTTGGTGTGGAAGGTGCTCTTGCACTTGGTGTCGCCCGGGGCGAGGACTTCGAGGATGTCGAACTCGCCGCAGTCGGTCTGCCAGCAGGAGCAGTCGCCATACTGCTGGGTGCGGGGAACCTTGGCGTTGAGAAGCCAGGTGGCGGGCATGTCAGCGTTGAAACCGCTGCTGCCGTCGAGGGGCATGCTGAACCGCATCAGGAAGACCTTGGACTCGCCTCCGAAACCATCTGGCAGCAGTTAGGACTCGAATCTGCACAGGATACAATGAGAGACGTACGGTAGGCAACGGAGCCAGGACGGACGTAGCCGCAGCTGCCATCGGTACAGGGCTTGTCCGAGTATATGGCGAATTCCTTGTTGGAGGGGATCAAGACCTTCTCGAGAACCTGAGGGGTTGGGGAGCCACCGGTGGCTTTGGAGTTGATGTAGGAGAGCGAGTTGCCCCAGACGCTATCATCTCTTGTCAGAAGGGCACCTTGCTGATTCGGGGCATCGCAGTACTCACGTGTCGAAAACTCCAGAGCCGTCACCGCCGTAGTTGCCAAGGAAGACCAGTCCATCGGCAATACCCTTTTCAGCGTCGTAGTGGGCAATACGGGTATAGTCACCAGTGGCAACATTTTCCGGAGTGGACTTGGTAGGCGCGGGCCTGGGGGCCACGGAAGTGGCGGTAGGCTCCGGATACTCCTTCAGGGCCTGCGCCTGGACCTCAGGCGCTGCTGGTTTGTCCTCAGGGGCGGGCTTCTCCCCAGGGGCGGGCTCGTTGGACTGAAGAGAATTAGCCACGACCTATCGGCGGTCTTGTGTGTGTGTTTTTGACTCACAGGGACATCAGTGGCAACATGGTGGGGGTTGATCCAGGAGACAACCTGGCCATCAATGGTGGCCGTAATCCAGTCCTCACCGCGCTTCTCCTGGGCGTGCTTCTTGTGCAGGTGGTGATGGGCGTGGATGTGGCGGCGGGCGTGGATCTGAGACTGGGGGATACCAGCATCACGCTTCTGCTTCTTCTCGACGACGTTATAGACGGTGAGGCGGGCCAGCTCCAGGGGTCCACGGCAAAGGAGAGCGAGCTGTGCGGTCAGCAAGTGGACGGGGCAAGACGAGGATGAGTATCAACTCGAATTCCAGGGTTGCCTTACCTCCTCGTTGAAAGGAGCAAGAGGGCCGGTGAAGGCCTTGTCTTCGAACTTGCAAGAACCATCGCTTCCCATGTGGGACACGGCCTTGTAAGTGCCAGGGTGGCCGACGTTCGAATACAGGATTTGGTCAACGGCACCGCAGAACCAGTTGCCGCCCTCTTCCTTGGCGGAGCCGGTGCACTGCTGGAGGCCGGCGACCATGGCGGCCGAGCCGAGGGTCAGGAGAGCGCTCGAGGTCTTCATATTGTTTCCGTGTTGGGCGCAGCAAAGGAGTGTGTGGATGTGTTGTCCGATGGTTGAGAGGAGAAGTTGTGGAATATTTAGATCCAATATCGCCGTTCCTTCCGAGGCGGTGGCTGGGGTCCAGATATTCAACACCCGGTTTGGATGCCAGTGAATGGGTAGGGTGGTGTGAAGAGCCCAGTGGTCAGGCAAGAATGGTACGGCGTGGCAAAGCGTTGCACGAATACGAACCGAGAAGGAGAGGCAGGCGATAGAGTCAAGAAGCTTGAAGGAGCGGATAGGGACAACGAAT